ATTCACATTCTCAGACTGTGAAGGAGATGGTGGGAGAATTTTACTTTCAGACTTTCAAAATTTTGTTAATGTAGTTTTGCAATAAAGTAGAATTAGATTTTCTGGTTGTGTGTTCTGTCTGTTCTATCTGGTCAGCTGACATTAATCTGGGTCTCTTCTGAGCCTCTTGTACCATTATGTAGCTGCAGACTATGCTGTCTCTTATTTCAGAGGTCCCCAACCTTTTGGGCACCAGGGACCGGTGATTTTTCCACAGACCAGAGAGTGTGTGGTCTTGTGTGCTGCCTGCATCCCGCAGATGTGCGGACCAGTTGCTGGCATGCCGTATACTGGTACTGGTCCACGGACTGGGGGTTGGGGACCCTGTCTTATCTGACCCTTCTCTTTGCAGCAGGTCTCTGCTCTGTCTTGCAAGGTCTTTTTCATATGCCATTATAAGTAGGGATATTTCTTGCTATACATAGGATTTTATACCTCTTGAAAAACAAGACCTACATTTATATATTTAGGATGTTCCTGAATATGGTTTTGAATGTCAAACCTGGCAAAAAAAAGTATTTTTGTTGTCCAATTTAAGCCAGGTGCACCAACAAATATACAGTCATTCTCCTCTGCTGGCAGGAACTCTTCAAGAATCAAAGTTCTGTAACAAGTGGGGAATACCATTTAGCTTTACATTATATCACCTTTGTTTCATGGTAATTGCTTCCCTTATTTTTCTGAGAATAATTTAAAATCCTGGTTCTGGAATATAAAACTCCAGACAGTTTTATTTAAGATGACAAAAAATTAGACAGAGCCTTCCAGCACCTTTTCTGATGAACAGGTTTTTAAAAATGCATAAGCTTTCAACTACAGCTCACATAACGAAATGGTTTTTCTAACCAATGCAAACAATGTGACATCATTCCTAAAGGATCGAGTAAAAAACGTCTACAGACTTCAGCCAAGATCATGCCATACTGACTCCAAGAAGTTCAGCATTCTTTGAAGTGAGCAAAAATTAAACCCCAGTGCCATCTCTACTCTGGAATTTCCACTGCATCAGGACTTTTCCAAGACAAGACAACAAACCTTATAGAACAGAACGTATCTCTTTGAAGAAAAAGAAACAAACCGTCCATGCTTCTGCAAACTGCAAACATATACTCACCAAAATGGAAGGACTCTGGATTGGATAGCATTTCCCCAGTTGGAACCTATGCTCATTTGGGGGTCTTCCTAGACTCGTGGCCCCTGCTTGAGAAACAGGCAGCAGCTTTGACTTGGAAGACCTTACCAAAGGCCTTTATCTTGAGTACCAACTGCACCCTTTTGTGCACCAGGAAGTTTTTCTCATAGTCATTCATGTATTACTCACCTCTGATATCTCATTTGGATTGCAGCAATGTGCTCTGTTGACTCGTTGGAAGCTACAGCTGACTTGAGTAGTTATGGTTGCACCTTGGTAAGCTCATATTACACAAGATATACTAGTTACCATTTGGCTTTCAGGTACAATGCAAGGTGTTGATGGTTATCTTTTAAAACCCTATAAGTCTTACAGCTGTTTATTTCCAACCTCTCTCCAATTGTCTCTGCCTATCCCATACAATCCATCAGGGTTGGCATGCTTCAGATCCCCTCACACTCATGGAATGTAATCTTATGAGAGGCCCAAAGCATGCCTCCTTTATTGCCATTCTTGCCCACAAGGTCCACATGCCTTCAGCCCCGCAGTTCTTCAGGAAAGCTATAAAGATCTGGCTTTTTCAGCAGGTCCCACCCAGTGGTGGGATTCAGCCAGTTCGTACCACTTCGGCAGAACCAATAGCTAATTTTTTGTTGCCCAGGCCCAGAATGGACTTTCGGAAGCGGCATCCACACAGAGAACCGGTTGTTCACATATTTGAATCCCACCACTGGTCCCACCCATTGGATTTTGTCAGGGTCCTATATGTTATGATTNATGATTATTTTAATTTTCTATTCCCCAAACATTGTTTCTATTTGTTTTTCGTTTATTGCTATATTGTGCTTTGAAGTTGGGTCCATCTTCAACATCAGGTTTTCTCAGGGTTGCTTGAAACAGAGAAGACAAATTAGGATTTTGGGGTCCTTTGTGTTGTCTGATCTTGGTTGTTTTTTGCAGATGTTTCATTACTCAGACAGATAACTTCATTGGTACTAGAAAGGAATAGGGTTTGCTGTCTGTTTATATACAAGTGTCTTGCCTTCATTGTTGGTAGGAGTGTTCTTGATTAGGCTGTTATTTACTGTTTGTCTGAGTTGGTAGTTCCTTGATTAGGGTATTGTTTACTGTTTGATTATTGGTCTGATATTAAACTTGACCGTAATCTTCGCTTATCTGGATGTTGATTGCTGACAAGTAGGTGTTGTGGTCTTCTGGCTTTTTGATTGTCTCTTTTGAATAGTAGGTTCTGGTTGATGGCTGATTTGTCTGAGTGCTAGACTTCCATAAATTCTGTAGCAATTTTGGATTTGCCTTGGTCTAGGATGCTCGAAGTTTCCCAATTGAAACTATGGTGAAGTCTGTCCTTGTGTTGTGCAATTAAGAAGTTTTCGTCATGTGTTTGATTGCTTGTTGGTTCATTGATGCGATCTGCTAGTCTTCTGACTGTTCTTCATAGTGGCTGATGCAGTTCTTAACATTGCATGGTGTAGATTACTCCTGTTTTTTCTTCTGCGGTTACGTGTCTTTTGGTTAACTTAAGATATTTTGGAGGGCTTTAGTTGGTTTGTGTGCTACAGTGATGTCATGTGATGGTAATAATCTGTTGGTGGTTTCTGAAATAGTTGTTATCCCTTTCACAGCTTATGTTGGTTGTGCTGTAGTGGGTTGAGTGGTCAGGCACTTTTTGATAAAGTTGTGTGAGTATCCATTTGTTGGAAAATATATAGACGAACTGTTTCCCTTTTCTTATGTTCAAGGTTGCTGCAGTGTGTTTCTGCTAATCTAAATTGCATTCTTACACACCTTGTCTTGTGGGAAATTGGGTTATTACTTTGGTAATGGAATTCTTGCTTGGTGTGGGTGATTTTAAGATAGACTTGTATTTCTAATTTGCTGTTGTTGCTTCTGCTGATGAGGCTATCCAGGAAGGATATTGTTAGGAGTGTTGGGAATTAGGATAGTTGGAAATTAGACAGCATATATATTTAGATGATGATGATGATGATGATGATGATGATGATGATGATGATGATGATCTGACCACATGAAAAAAGGAAAGAGAAATTATTTTCACTTCCGCTATTTCCAAGTTTTATGGATTGTGCTAAACATATAAGCAAGTTTATTGTTAGCATATAACAATAAAAATAAAGTCCATGTGACACATATTTTTTGTTAATACTGGTAACATAATGGCATTCTCTACACTGTCTGTACATAAAATAAGCCAAAGATTAAACCATATGATGGTTTAGTGTGATACCTGAATCTAGCCACTAAAGTCTAAAATGCTTTATTCTCTCATTCTAATTCTAAAATTAAATTTAGGATCAAAAGATAGAACAAATATAGAAAAATATCTTGTTTTTGTTTATTAATATATGTTTGTATCAGGTATAAATATAATTAATAATATTAATATGTTAATATTAAATTCTCAGTAATTCTTCTAGAAAGGCAAAATTTGTAATATACTTAATTTCTTTTGTTATTCTTCAAAGAGCTGGTTAGCTAAATTAAACCAAGTATTTTTCTAGTAAAAAGACAAGTTGTTAATATTACATTTAAAATTGGTTGTATCTTAACCTTGATGACCTCCAATGTCCCTTCCAACTTTATTATTATTATTATTATTATTATTATTATTATTATTATTATTATTATTATTATTATTATTATTATTATTACTATTATTATTATTATTATTATTATTATTATTAACCAATGGAAGGCTGCTGTATTTAACATTTTAGAACTTAAAATCTTGTGCATTGGTGCTTGTAGAATATAATCTATGTCTCAGATTACTTCTGCTTTTTTGATGACCTTTTTCTAATACTTTTAATTTACATACATATGTTGCTTATTCTTGAATCATCCAAAATTACATCAGATTCATGTAATCATACCTATTAGTTAGAGACGTGGGACACTTTTCTTATGGAAATCTCATGAGTGAAATCTTCGTTGTAATATATCACTCTGCTCTACAGCCTTGGAGCTTATGCAAGAGCACTTATTCTGCTATGTCTCAATTCCTTCTAGGGAAGACTTATGAGGAAACACATTTTTAGAAATTGTGCCTTGGCATGCTGTGACTAGAACTATTTTTGATGTTGTACTGGTGAAATGCATTTGTTCCAAACCCAAACGGACTGTTGCTCAACTACAGTCATCCTACAGCACTCTTTATGATCAATCTTGTGTTCATTGGTTATCTTTTAAAGTCCCTTCTTTTTTTTTCACGAAACAAACACATTTTGTAAAGAAAACTAGCTAGAGAGTTATTTTAGCATAAACGTAACAGGCTTTATGCAGATGGCATTTTAATTTCTCATTGGTTGTGAAAAGCAGTTCTGAAATATTTCCATTGTATCTTTTCTGTTGTGCACCCTGTGGAATGATAGCTTCCAGCTCCCCATAATTTCACGGCCCCTGTAAATGTTAGCCTTCAAAAAGGTTTTGAAGATCTAAAGATAACAGGATGTTAGATGAGCTCATCCTGGGAGGTGAAATATATACTAGTATACCCCAAATGTGTGGTTTGTTGATGGTTGTTTTTGTTGGTTGGGGATATAGGTGTTATCTTTCAAAAATGAGCAAAAGCAACAGAGACTTTGATTTGCAGATGCCATCTTTATTTTCTTAGATTTTATAGATGCTGGAGTATTTGACAAATTTCTTTCTTATATAGATGGACAATATAGATTGTTTTTCCTCTGAATTTTGTTCCCTCCTACTGCCAATAATTTTAGTATTAAAATTAGTCATTTTGGTCATTTGCTGACTATGTACTGAGTTATCCATGCCTGGTTAATTGTTTCAGCTCTCAGAATGGCAGATGAGAATTCTTACCTCTTGGGAATGGGAGAACATCAGGTGAGTATCTGTACCTAATAATAGTAATATGGAAATATTAAAGTGTAAAAACTATATTATTATATTTTTGCTTTAACAAATGAAGGCTGTCAGAACATTGTACATTCTACAAAACATTTAAAAGATGCCTAATTCAGGAAAATACATGAAGTATCCCATAATGAAGCATTAAAATATCAGAGATGTAGCATAGTAAATGAATAATAACAATGTCCAGACATGTCATTGATTTAGTATGTTGTACCTCTGATATTTTAAAAGCTAAGTAAATTTCCCATTGCTACCTATCAGGATGGACACACAAATTCTCATCACTATACTGAGAAGAACTTTTCAAGAAGTGGGAATACCTTAAGTAAGATTTTCCTTATTCCCTTATTCCTTTAACCTTAAGCAATTTGAGTAAGAAGCCAAGCCAACACAGAGGTTGGGGGAAGGGAAGAATTATTCTTTTTTTAAAAAATATTTTATATAAATGAGGAAAGAATAGGGAGAGTTCAGGTATGGGGAGGGACGGGCATGGGGAATTTGGGATGGAAAGAGGGTAGGTACAGTAGTGGGGTAACCCCCAACAATAATGTCATACTTTAACAAACAAGCTTACCGTCCGGATCAAAATAGTAAATAAACATAATTTATATCTTATTCTTTATTATGATCCGGTAGTCTTGAAACCACTTTTCTTTTGATACTACTATTAATCACATTGGATCAGTGACAGTAGGTTGGGTTTTTGTTTTGGATTTTTTTTCATTTCTTCCAAGCTTGGGGGGAGGGCTACTGTAGTTTTTGGTTCCTTTGAGTCATTGTTGACTCCTTGAGTCTGCCTGATCAAATTTCGGCAGTTTTCTCAGGAAGATTTTGGAAGTGGTTTGACATTGCTTCCTACCATAAGGCTGAGAGAAAATGAATGTCCCAAGGTCGGTCACCCAGTTGACTTTGTGCCTCAAACAGAACTAGAACTCATGGTGTCCTGATTTTAGTCTGATGCCTTAATTCTTAGACCAAACTGGAGTTAAGGAGCTTTTATGTTAACATTTCTGTCACTTGTTTTTTTAGCTAAAATCACCGTACCCCTTAATTTGTATATTTATTTCAAAAAAGAAGTTTTCTTAATCTATACTCTAGAATTAGTTTCAAAGCTGTCTGATATCCTGTTTAAAAAAAGAGCTGAAAGTAACACAAGAGACCAGAGAGTCACTTATTCTTCTAAAGACGTGAAATAGACTTTTTGAAAGCAGACATATAAATAGTTTATTTGGTATTGCATTTTTAGGTTAGTGTATCCTGAATGAGTCATAACTATAATTTAGATATTTCTTCATCTGTTCATTAATGAGTGGGAGTTGTAACTTTTTGACACTGATGAATCTGTAATGTATGATATTGAAAGTAGTGAAAGGCTAAATTTCCAAATAAATAGCATCCACCTACACAGATCTACTGCACAATTGCTGGAAATTAGTTTGATCATCTGCACCACAGAGAGGCAATGAATATGGGTAAGGATACTAGTCACAGTGCCCATTAGGCTACCCATCCCAGGTAGCTTTAGTTTTTTATTGCTTTTTAAATAAAAAAAGCAAAGATGGCATATTGCAAAACAAAGTGAGTCTGAACCTTATACGAGCTATGATTTTCTAAGAAACAAAATATTGGTAAAAAATAAAAAATGCTAGAGGTTCCAGCCTGTTGCATTGTTTAGAAGTATGCCCATTTACTCCCCAAAATGAAAATTTAAAAATAAACTGATATGGCATAAGATATTGAACTAATGACAACGACCAACTTGCAACATTTCATATTTTTGTAAATTTCCATGCCTATCACCATTTCTTTGTGATTTCATGCACACGTGCTGTAAAATGTGTCCCAATGACACTAACCTCGTGTATAAACAAATCCTCAGAAATGTGGAACAGAAACATTGATATGGGAAGTAACAGGAGAAAGAGAGAGAAATGGAGGCAGAAATGGGATAATTCATAGTTATATCAGGAGTATTTAGGGTTTTTTTTAATAATGGCATATGGGATTAGGTCGTTGAATTAAAGGTATAATCTCAATATATTTGAAGGAAAAGAATGTGCTGATTCCTTTGGAAGAACTAGAGTTTATTAGTTATTACATGAATACATAATATATAAATTTATTACATTTATCTCCAAGTGAACCCTGAGGGTCTTCTCTTATTTTGCACTCAACAATTCTGTGAGATATCTTGGGTTGAAAGACAGTGAATGTGAAACAGTCTTAAAACAGCCACTCACACTTGAAATGGATGTTTATTGAAACATGTGCAAAGAGATTCAAAATGAAATGTTTTGCAGACCCATATTGTTATATAGGTAGTCCTCAATTTACAATCACAATTGAGCCCAAAATTTCTGTTGCTAAATGAGACATTTGTTAAGAGAGTTTTGCCCCATTTTGCAACCTTTCTTGCCACAGTTGTTCAGTGAATCACTGCAGTTCTTAAGTTAGTAACACATTTGTTAAGTGAATCTGGCTTCCCCATTGGCTTTACTTGTCAGAAGGTCGCAAAAGGTAATAAAATGGCCTTGGGACACTGCAACTGTCATAAATATGAGTCAGTTGCCAAGCGTCTGAATTTTGATCATGTGACTACGGGGATGCTGCAGTTGTAAGTGTGAAAAAAGGTCATAAGGTCATTTTTTTTAGTGCTGTTGTAATTTTGAACAGTCATTAAACAAATCATTGTAAGTTGAGAACTACCTGTAGTTATATAGTATTTTTTGTACTTTTTTTTACCTAAACTGCATCGTCAGTTTAACTTCAGTATGTTTGACCACTGAATTTTAACATGTCATTCTTCCATATTGATTGGTTCACAATCGTATTTGGACTTTTCACTGTCAGCTATACTAGATGGTTAAGAGAGGACAATTCAAACCAGTTACTGTTAATAGCACAGATAGTAATTGTGCAGGATAAAATATAGCCACCAAAAAGTTGCAGGTAGTCCTCAACTTACAACAATTTGTTTAATGACCATTCAAAGTTGTAATGGCCTGAAAAAAATGACTTATGACCAGTTCTCATACTTTTGACTACTGCATCATCCCTACAGTCTTGTGATCAAACTTTAGGTGCTATATTCACAGTGATTGCAGCATCCCACGATCCTGGCACTGTCATTGGTAACCATCCTAGGGAGCTTCTGACAAGCAAAGTCAATGGGGAATCCAGATGCACTTAACAACCACCTGATTCACTTAACAACTGTAGTGATTCACTTAACAACCATGGCAAAAAGTCATAAAATGGGATATGACTTGCTTAACCATTGCCTTGCTTAGCAGTGGAAATTTTGGGCTCAGCTGTGGTCATAAGTTGAGGATTACTTTCATAGTATTTGATTTTTAAATTAGTTGTTATAAGCTGAAATAACTAGACTTACTGAAAATACAAATATTCTTAACACAGGTATATGCAATGGACCATTTCCCCTTGGGGATGAATCAGCTGTACAATAACACAAGCATGATTTCAACTGATCTGCCACTTCGCACAAGTAAGAGCCATTATTGCTTGATTGATAGCATTCATTAATAATAACTATATATACTGATGATGGAAAGGAATTTTTGCACAAAAAAAAGGATTGTGCTTTCAAATGAACATTTTCTGTTCCTGTTGATATTATCACTGCACAGTTCTTTCTTGTATTTGTATGTGTTTTGTGTGTAGGAAAAATACCTGGGAAATCTGGGGACTTCCTGAAAACAAATACCCTGTTCTTTGCAACTGTGTAAAGATGACAGGAGTTTTTTCTATTGTTGTTGTTGTTGCTATAGTCTGCTAGGCCTAGTTCTCCAAATTAAAACACCACAGATGAGTTAAGAGCAAACCTGCATGATTTTTACAACAGTGCAAGGAAGTATGAATGATTTCCATTCTCGCGTTCTTTATTACTTGAAAAATGGGAATGGTAACTTCTTGTCTGCTACAGGGAAATGTGTGAACTCAGAGTGTATCATGACTTCCTCTTTGAATATTAATTTCTTCTATTCTTTATTTATTACATATGAAGATGATTGGAAGATAAGGCTATTGTTGAACTTCGGCTGTTTAGCTATTTAGCTTTATGAGCCATGGTGGCACAGTGGTTAGAATGCAGTATTGCAGGCTAATTCTACCCACTGCCAGCAGTTCGATTCTCACCGGCACAGGGTTGATTCAGCCTTCATCCTTCCGAGGTTGGTAAAATGAGAACCCAGATTGTTGGGGGCCATAGCTGACTCTGTAAACTGCTTAGAGAAGGCTGTAAAGCACAGTGAAGCAGTATATAAATCTAAGTGCTATTGCTGTTGGTATTTCATTTATTTAGCATTGCCAAAGCCCAGAAAACCTAAGTGTATATATAAATCATGTCCATGTACTTATATGAAGAATCTTCACGAGGAAAGACAGATTCCTTCATATTAGGAACCATGGCAGGAAAAACTCTGTTTTTGTAAAAGAATGTATGAATATCCACGGGGAAAGAGAGATGGAGATGCTCAGAAAAGAAAGGCAGAAGCCCCATAGCTTGGTGGTCAGAGAAAAAAACTTAGGAACAACCTGCACTAATGGATAAAGCAGTCAAAAGTGGGGGTAGGAAGTTTATGTCTTCAGACTTGCAAGATTTTGTTAATGTAGCCTTACAATAAAATAACAATTCGATCATCTTGTCATGTTTCTTGGCATGGTTTACTTTTTTTTATCCCTGAAAGATTGTTATGTGGCCTTTTGAATCTTGGACCTGTTTCCCTAAAATTAAAAAAATTATAAACACGTGTCCATCACCTGACAAAAAATTAAAAAATAAAAATAAATAAAAAAAACCCTCCAAGGGCAGACTTGATGGACCACTAGGTCTTTTTATGCTGTAGTTTTCTATGTTTCTAAAGCTCAAAAATAATTTTAAAATGCAAGGCTTTAAAGATTTATTTATAGATAGCAGAAAAGAGATAGGAAAAAGAGATATTTTGTCAATAAAAGAGACCATTTACAGCTCAGGTTTGAATTGTGGCAGCCTTGGTGCTCTCTATGCTTGGTTGTTTTCTTGCACTGATGATGTTAGCTAGTTGGGTAATGAAACATCTGCAAGAAAACAACCAAGCCCAGAGAGCATAAGGAACCCAAAGAAATATTTTGTTGTATTTTCAGAGCAAATGATAAGTTACGGTGTTAAAAGGAAAGGAAAAGAAAGGAATACAAACATGGTTTATCTGTTTAAGGCTAACACACACACACATGCATATATGTGTTATTTCTGGTAACTCTGGACTTTTGCTGAGTAAAACTAAGTGGGAAGGTTTTAAAATTTGTAGATAAGATGAGATATGGGAAGAAGAGATATTTTGTTGTAAAAATCAGAAAAGGTGATAAGTTACTGAAATTGTGCTTGTCTTGGTAAAGAGGGAAGTCATTTCTTATCTCTTAGTTTTTAATTACTATTTTTATCCTTTTTAAATTTTGCACTGACACTTTTCATTTTCATTTTATTTTTTATATTTGTATCATAAGTTTGTATTAGTTTTTATCTAATCTTTAATAAAATTATTATCAAAATAATTTAAAACATATATAAATATCTAGCAACAAATCGGTTTATGTAAAAACTGAGCAATTTCAGAAAGTCTGCATTTCTTTTGTCTAAAATATTTACCAAAAAAGGAAGTATTTTTAATTGCAATCCCCTTGTGCTGCGAATTGTTCTTTAGAACATCTGGTTTCTACTTGCCTTAATATCTTTTCGGGTCATCCCATTTAAAATCTTTTAAAATCTTTCATTTATTATTTATGCCTTATTTGTTACTGGATGTTTATTTCCTTTGGCTTTCTATATTATTGATTATTGTTGTATTTTTTAATAAACTGATTTATGGTTTGAAATTATTCATCTTTGTGTATAGTGATTTGTGGACTTAACCTGGATTGAAATTGCCATTTTTTGTTGTTGTCTTGCATTTGTCCCAAAGTACAAAATGATTGACAATATAAATAGTTAAATAAATAATTGCAAGCTATTATTTGCTTAGAAATAGGTTTCTAGAAATTTTCTTGTTAAGAAATATATATAGCTATGTCTATATGATTGTACCACTATTTTATTTTGTTAGGATTTTTCTTTGTTGAACGTATCAACCAGGAATTTTAGTCATACATATGTCTTCAGTCTCTTAAAACATTATTTGCAAAACGTCTTCAGTAATACAACATTTGTATGAACTCTTTTGTTTTCTTCATTATCTTTTTTACTAGCTGATGGGCCATATCTTCAAATAGTTGAACAACCTAAACAGGTAAGATAAGAGCATTGTTTTCTTTTTTAATATTGCAAGGTTAATAAATTAGCATAGTGAAAGCCCAACTATTGAAGATAATGCTATACAAAGAAAACACGTTTTATACAAACTTTTATCATTATGATAGTATGATTATCATAATAGATGAAAGTCTTGTGGTCTTAAATCATCTGTCCCAAAAATGGGATCTTCTTATCCAAACTTTATCTCCTGCTATTAATATCTGTATATCTATATTTATATGTCTCTATATATGTATTAAGTATGTTAATTACAATAGTAAAAACTAATACAAACTAAAATTAAAGGGAAGAGAATGGAAAGAAAGAATAAAAAGTGCAAAAAAAAGAAAGAAGCCAAAAGTGAATATAATAAAGAGAAATATAAAAAGTGACTTCCAACCATCATAACTATAAACAGTTTTAATAACGTTTTACTCCATAAGATTAAATAGATACCTTTTCATCCCATATAGCATTGCTTATCTATAACTAAATAAAAAAAATCAACTTGGTGTCAACAAAAAGTCCATAAAGTATTGCCAGAACATACCTTATTTAACCTTGATCAAACCAACTGTATATTCCATCCTTTTTCTTCTAACAGTCTTAATCTTTAGTTCAATCAAATATTGGCAACAGATTTGATAGCTCTTTGATTCTTCTTCATTCCATTGCATAGATTTCTTCAAGACTTTAACAAGCTTTTTTGTATATCCAATAAGAAAACTTTCCAGATTATTTTCTTGGTTAATCATTTTGTTAAGTCCGGAGAATAATGGCGCTTGAAGCAATGCATTTCCAACATGTCTTTATTCTCTGACTACAATCTACGAACGAACCGAGCAGAGGCACGCAGGCCTCTATTTATACCCTCTGATCCCCGGGCAATGTCAACCAATCACAAGGCTGTCTTTTCCCGCCTTACGCATGCGCGCAAGGCCGGCGCCGCTCAGTCTGGTCCCGGGCAGCTTTTGCAAATGCCCGGGACTCTTGCAACGTCCCGAGCCTGCTTCTGCAGGCTCAGGACACAACACATTTTGTTTCCCTTTTAATTTTTAAAACTTTAGCCACTTTTTGTAAAGTTTCTTTTCCTAATCATTATGTTGGTCTGTCATTTGTAGTTCTATATTCTGTACTATTTTTATTGTACCAGATAAAATTTGTTCCACATCTTTCATTTTTTTCATTAATATTTTAGACATAGTCTCCCTATAGAAGTAGACATGTTTATAACAGAGTTGATGTTGTAGTTACTAACTTCTGACTCCATTTTTCAAATATCTCCTTTAATGTTTCTGACGTTACGACCTTTTGTATCAGTCTGTAGGCCCCAGTATTAATTGACACCAGACTTTGCCTTTTTTCTTCTGCTTAAAATCTTTAGTTTCCTCTGGTCTCCCGTTTCTAAAATCATAACTTTTTTTTGTTATGACTTTCAATTGCCTGGATAACCAAAAAAGTCTGTTTCCCACAAGTAAGTGATCATTTTTATAGTTAATTCCAAAAAGTTATATTAGAAATCAATATTCCAAATTTATCTGGACCCGTAATTCATTTATAACTTTATTTGATCTCAATCTTAGATTTTTGCTGTTTAGGTCAAATTCTTTAAGTTCTTAAAGTTGTGCTTAATATTTCTTTTGTTTAGAATTGAAGATAAACTCATCCAATAAAGGCTTTTCAAACCTATCATTCTGAATGTCTGTAACATCTTTAGAATAGTTAATAGGAAATTTCTGAAAGTGATAGAAAGTGAGATTTGTGAACTTGGTGTCCTTTAAAAGTCTTCCCTGCAGTTGCAACCAAGATGGCTGATCCAGCAGTCTACCAGCCATCAGACTCACAGCATCATATGTAAGCAATGTCCTGTCTTATCCTTATTTGAAGATGTTCCAAGAAACCAGTGCATTGACCAGTTCCTTGACCTTTGCTATGTTCATTGGCTTCACTTTTAAGGAGTCATCTTCAGTTCATCCCATCTCCTCCAGAAGTCCCTCTATTTCCTGCTTTGATATAACTCCTTAGAAATTCTCATTACCACCACCTTTATCTGTTATCCTTCCCCCAACTTCAGCAAATGAGAAAAATAAGGTTCACGTAGCCTATGCAGCTTCCTAGCTAATAAAAGGAAATAAATAATGACAAATGAGATAAATTGTATAGTTACCCTGACTCTGTTGCATTGAGATGTTTCATCTCATCCTCATTTTTTTCAAGGTGAGATTTCACAAGACAAATACAAACAAACTTTATTTTAATGTAAAATAGAGGATATAAAAGTTCCCTTCAAACTTTAAGAAGCTAAATGCAAAACAATCAACGGTGGAAGAAAATAAAATTGTAGGGCTGCTCAAATCAGGCACAACATTTTCCAGGAACATCCAACAGAAAAAAGTGAAGAAAAATGCAGGAATTTCAGTAGATTATACTGATACAAATCATACTATTTTGCCTCTATTTAGAAGCAAGTCTGACATAAAAAGTAGCTGTTTTGCACAAATCCCACATGCACTGAGCATGTATAAAGAAAATAATTAAAGACAAAATTGGACTTAAAAATACAGAAAAAAAATCAACTCAGTCCAGTTCATATCTAACATTTATCTATTCCTCTAAAGAATATCTGGAACAGATATTAACTTTACACCATTTTTCCTTAAGAAATCCTTCTTCCTGCCATTTCAAACTTAAACCAGAGATTGGAGGGAAATCTGAGTTCTATCCCTTGAATCCAACTTCACTCTAGCTTCTTGGTCACTTTCTCTCAGAATTCTGATTGTAGTGTTTCAAATGTAAACATTTTCCCTCCGAACAGAGAGAGAGGGATTTCAGTCATTTGACTTTGCAGGTGACCCAGAACTGTTCTTCCTGCAGATGTAGATGTCACATCTGAGATGAGTGAATGCATATTAGACATGCCCGAGCCGGTCAGACAAGAATGGCTGGCAAGAAGGCTGCAATTTTGTAAAATTGGCTGGCTATTTGGAACCATTGTTTGTTTGTTTTTTTGAAGAATAATATTTTTTCCTATGAATGACAAGTTGAAAGGATTCCCCAAAATTAAACTGTTCTCTGTATGAAATATGTTTTTGACAAAGCATTGTAAATGATACAGAATTAAGACAACTTAGCCTTGTGTAGCAGCTGCGCTATGCTGAATATGTGTTTCCACAAACAAGTTTAGGATAAAAAAATAAAATAATAGTGTATAGGTGATAAAAGTTCTGCTAAAGGAAAATCAAAGCTCCCAGCTCTCCCTTTTTTTGTGTCACGTTAAGATTTAAGACATGGAAGTTTTCATTTAAATTTCATTATTTTATTTTCTCAGCATTACTACTAAATGTTACGATTCATTAATGTTGTGCAGATATCTACTTTTAAATGTAAATAACAAATTTTGAAATAATAGCTCTGATCTTGAAAAAAATCCAACATCCATGGGGAAGCATAGTCTTTATAGGAATCAGCCAAAATGATACAAAAAGGGGAAAGCTTTAGTTGGTCTTAAAATCAAAATTTCAGTATTATAAAAAGCAAAAGGTTGGAGGGGAAAGAAAAGTGACTTGCAATGCCGAAGCACTTATGACAAATTCTGAATGCAATTCTAATGTTAAAATGGGGGAACAGACTGAAAAACTGTTATTAAGGCTTTAAAGTTAGCTCTTCTTTGTCTTTTTTATTGAACAAATATTCAAAGAAAAATGAAAAAGAATTTTCAAATTAAGATAAGCCAGTAGAAACAAAAGAAAACCAAGTAGAACATTCACATCACTATTTATAGTTAGAAGAACATTTCTATAGATGAAAGTCATCTGCTGGGAAATGTTATTGTTAATAGAGTTAAAAAATGGTAATCAGATTTCAATTTATTTATCCTGAAAGAAAACACTATAAAAGAACAGCTTATTTCTTACATTTAGTCAGCATCAGAATTTCATTCAGAATACTTGAGATTCATGATCTTTTTTGTAGCATAAGGTATTTGTACAAAAATTATTTGACATATCTGCTAGAAATTGTCTTTCAATTTTAATTTATAGTAGGCCTTTAATGAACTTGATGGAAGGAAAGCGTAACGTTCACTGCAGTATCACCTGGAAATATATTTGCTAAATTATGTAGTTATTACAATATTACAATATTTAAAATAGCTACAGTTTTTATAATAAATAGGCAAATAGATAAATATTTTAATAAACAAGTATGTGAATATTTATCTGTATTGTATGGGATATTGCTGATTTATCTATCTGTATTGTATGGGATATCTTATTGAGGAATTTGTAATTAAATCAACTGTTCTTTAATTCTTCAAAACTAATCTCCTTAGAGAGGCTTTCGTTTCCGCTATGTTTGTGAAGGACCATCCCATGGTGGACTTCCTGGAGCTTCTAGTGAAAAGAACAAAAAGTCTTATCCACAAGTCAAAGTAAGTTAATAACTACTATATTTAATATGATTAATATTTATTTATCATTACCATTGATCATTATTATTGATTTGTGTGATACTCTACAGAATAAGAAAGGACATACTTTGCTGCTCAAAAGTGATTTTACTTAAGGTTGCTTCTATGGTCTTTACAGACTTCATTGGAAATAAATGGTAAATTAGATTAAATCCCCAGTTGTATCAACATTGAGAAGTGAGGGATGAGATTTAGCCAGACAAGAATTAATTCAAGGTCCACAATTATTGAGATCTTTTTGAGCTTGGAAATTTTTTTCATAAAACAATAAGCTGAGATTCAAAGACATCCTGGTTTATTTTTATCCAACTGCATTGTGATAAATTCAGACCTTTCATTCTTGCTCTGCTTCTCTTCACAAGCAGGGAAATAGCTTCATCAGACAGGGGCTATGTTGAGCAAATCCAACTCATTTCCTTAAAAAATATTACAAAAGGGTCTGGTTTGATTTTCAAATCCTACTATTTCTGAATGTGTTGGTTACTGTAAAGACATCTGTGCTTTTACATATCTTTAGCTGAAGTGTTTTATATCTTCTCTCAGCTGTAGCTGAATTATCAATATACTATATGTACAATCTTCAGAGAAGCGGATTGTGTCCATATTGAGAGGTTAGCATGTATGTCTTGAATGTCTTTGAGGGCTAACCCTGCTCTTTCCTGAGAAAGAGTTATGACCTCTGATTATAGTACCAACACCAATGGTATATCTGCAGTTGAGGGCAGGCAAGATGGAGGTTGTAGCTCATAATGAAAGCCCTCGCCCAACATGTATTTGGGCAATATTTGGATGGCACATTTCCCATTATGATACCATCACCCTTGCAACTGCTCAGTTCTGCAGCAATGATTTGCAGTATTCTGAAGTTATTTTTTTTACTGTAATTCCTGTTACAAAGATACAGGACCATATTGTTTAACCACAGTGTAAACAATTATTGTTTCCTCATAAGGCTATACTGGCTTTTTGAAGACATCTTTGTTATTTTTATAATTGTGATAGATCAGTCTGTGCTTCTATTTTTACATAAAAATGGGTATCTTTTTAAGGTTAATTGTATTGTACTCGGGGGTGTAGTGGCCTAGTAATTAAGACACTGGGCTGTCAATTGGAAGGTTGGCAGTTCAAGACTTTGTGGCTGGGTGAGCTCCTGTTTTTGCCACAACTCCTGCCAACCTAGCAGTTTGTAAGCATGCAAATGTAAGAAGATAAATAGGTGCCGTTTTGGTGGGATGGTAACAGCATTCTGTGCATCTCAGCATATAGTCGTGCCAGCCACATGGCCATGGAAGCATCTTTGGACAACACTGGCTCCCTCGACTAGGAAATGGAGTCCTATAGGTACTTTTTCAAAAGGCAGTTGGACTTTTTTAATTTGGAAAACTGGAAAAAAAACTAAGAAAGTCCACTTGCCTTTGGAAAAGCACTTTGGAACAACCATGAGCTGGATTTTGAGAATCTCCATACACATTTAGGAAATGGAGATGAGCACTGCCCCCTAGAGTTGGACATAACTGGACAGGGGAAACCTTTGCTGGATTATTCTCTGTCTCCTACTTTATCTTCATGAAGGAACTTCTGTTTCTGGCATTGATTCCAGTATGAAAAATGAGTCAAGCTACAGAGAAAAATGTTTCTCATGGAGATGAATAAGATAAATAAGATAATGCGGGGGAGAGCATTACCAATTCTCAACTACGGATATCCTTTTGGGCTTAAAATTAAGATCTTACTTTGTTTCTCCCAACATCTTAACGGTTTGTTTGTGAATGTGTAAATATAGCTCTTCTTAAGATATCTACGTTGACTTCACATATATTTCTTAGAACTCTCTGAGAACCTTAAAATAAATAAACTTTTTGTTTATTTCATTTATATTGTGTCTTTTTGGAAAATATGTCAGAGATGTTCTCATATCTATGGAAATGGGCAGGGCATGTGGGGTTTTTATGGGTATTTCCCCTCTTATTATTTCAACTTGCCTTTAATCTTTTATCATAATTATATTACTCAGTCTTCAATTCTGTATATTTTTAGCTGAGAAAAATTATGATTAACAATAGGTCTTGCTTCAGAATAGACATATAAAGAGTGCACTGTCAGTGATTTTTATTTTTATTTGAAAGTATTATATCTTTTTTTTCTATTTTCTTTCTTTTTATTTATATAAATCTTTACACGACAATACCTGCAAAGAGAGTTTGGCAGATAAATATGGGGAAGTTCCTTAAGGCTACCTTAGTAGCTTGTTAGTACCTGCTTTTTATTTCAAGTTTAGCCAGTTGGAAGATGGAATATTTTGTGTTCTGTTTCCTTCTGACTGTCTGCCTTCAACCAAGGTGCTTCATTTACATGAATGGAAAGACCTCCAATATGTTAGATTGTTCTGAATAATTATTACTTGTTATGATCTATATAGCACCATATATTTTACTTCACATGTAATCAGATAAATTAGTTTCTGTGGAGTTTGCTCTGTTTATAATGCGCTGTTGATTTATGCAGCACCATCTTTTCAAATTAAGTATAATGATGTCACTTTAGGTAGCAACATACAAACATTTCCCTCCAAATTTAAACTTTCTGGGTTTTATTATTATCAATATCCCATCTTTGGAGAATATAGAAGTTATAATAAAGCACAATCTGTACTTTTTAAAGGAAAGTAATGGCTAAAATTCTGCAAAATAAGGCCATATCCAGCCATTCTGTTAAAACTATGTAACAAATGTTTCAGCATCACAATACAAATTGTACCCCTTTGTATATTTGTGCATCACACTGCATGTACAGATGGGGTAGAGTCCTCTTTTGCTTTTCCCACTTTTACCCATCTTTTGATTTGCTGTAGTAGAGCATGAATCGCTACTAAAGAAAGCCCGTTTGGTGCAGTACTTAAGACTTCAGGCTAGAAGACTGTGAGTTCTAGTCCCACTTTAGGCATGAAACTTGCTGGGTGACCTTGAACCAGTCAATCTCTCTAATCCCTAGGAAGAAGGCAATGTTAAATCATTTGTGAAAATGCCAAGAAAAATGAAGAAACATGTCCAGGCAGTTGCTAGGAGTCAAAAAGGATTTGAAACCAATAAATAAATAAATAAATAGCATGAATCACTGAAACAAGGCAACACTAGGATTGCACTCCAGGGCAGCAGCTCCCAACCTTTTGGGCACCAGGGACTGGTTTTGTGGAAAGAGTTTTTTCCGCGAACCAGAAGGGGCATGGTTTTGTATGCTGCCTGCATTCTATGAATGGGACTTCGCTTGTTTGTGAGACCTGGTTTCTGGCATGCCGTGGGCTGATGCTGGTCCACGGAACGGTGGGTGGGGACCTCTGCTCTAGGGGCCTTTTCCACTCCCAGGCTGTAGTGCTGTTTGTTGAATCAGTATAAAACTATACCAATATTAAATGTGCTTTTCTTATTGCCAATGCCCATCCTATCTTTATTGCTTCTCTTATCAGTCAGTATCAACATATAGGTCAGTAGGCCCCAACTGCCATGGATCGTTTCTGTGGAGGATGGTTTTTCCATAGACCAGGGGACATACTTTTGCGTGCTGCCTGGATCCCAGGCATGCGCGGGTGGGGCTTCGCTCACTTGTGCGGCCCAGTTCCTGGCAGGCCACGGACCAGTACCAGTCCACAGACTGAGGGTTGGAAATCTCTAATATAGGTGATAAAAGTGTAACATATACACGCACTGTAGGACTGTCTTTGGACAGTGTTGGAAAAAGAAGCACAATACTACTTTAACAAAAATACAACTAACAATAAATAATATTTGAATGCATAGTGATGAACACAAATGGATTGGAAATAAGAACATAAAAGGAGCCATAGCAGGCCCATCTGAATCCAGCATTTTCTAATGGGGAGCCAGATGCCCCAAGATACTTGAAATGAATTTGGATCAGCCTATTGATAGTTTAAAAAACTTCTAAAAGTTATTTTTTAAAATATTTAACATTAAAAAAATGTTTAATGTGTTTAAAACATAAAAAATGTTTTAAACACATTAAACATTTTTAATGCTAAATATTAAAATAGTATGTTTAGATTTGTGTGTCTGTATTCTGGGAAACATATATTGGAATCATTGCTGTTAGTATAAAAATTATTTTTGGTGTCACCATGACAGAATTTCTCCACATTTATCAGTAAACGTTTTCATACAGACTTTTGCTTTCCCTTTCATTTCCTGTTCTTGTTTAAGGAATATCATTTTGAAAATAAGCTTGCAATATATAGTGAAAACTGACCATTCTCAAGAAAGTTTTAAATGCTTCATTAACAGAACTTTATAAAATGCCCAGAAATATCTTCCCTGTTGTGTCCACCCCATACTTCTTCTTTTTTAACCATAAGTCTGTTAATAAAAATAGTATGCATGTATTTTGATTTATAGTGCCAGGAATCATTCTTCTGGTTTTCAAATGTATGTTGTAACACATATTCAATATAAATGTTTTCAAAAAATTATATTTGTCTTTTGAAAACATTTTCCCATTTTCCAGAATTTAAATATTTTGTTTTTGTAATTATATATTTACATTTTGAATATATCAAGTTGGTATATTTTATACTTACCCAGTTCTACTGAGATGACACTAATTGATACTCCTAGATATATATTTTAATCCTCTAACTCAGAATAAATGAATACCTTCACTTGTCTGCGTGTATTAATCAGTGATGGTGCCTGAATTTATTTTAGAAATCTTAGTTTCAAGAAGGCTAGAGTCAAGGCATGAAAAATCTGCAGCACAGTCTAATACTCTGCAGCACAGTCTAATACTCAGAGCCCTCTCTGTGGGCACGCGCGCCGTCACCCCAGTCCTAGGCCTTCAGCTGGGTTTTATAAAACCTTTTCACTTTAGGCCTCCGCTGCCGTGTGCAAAAAAAAAAAGTTCAATTAATCAATTTCAACTTCTTGCAGGGGAAAAAAAAGGATCTTGCAAAGTTGGAACTGATTGATTGAACTTTTTAGTCCCACCCAGTCTGCTGTTACTACCACAGCCATGCGCACCCAATGGGCCACACCCACCCAATGGGCCACACCTACCCAGCTGGCCACATCCACCCAATGGGCCACACCCACCCAGCACTCGACGATGCATAAGTGGGTTTTGGGTTGCAGTTTGGGCACTCAGTCTCTAAAAGGTTCGCCATCACTGGTCTAATAGGATTTCATGGGACTATAAAACTGGCTTACTACTTTCAGCATTCAGTTTCGCTTTACCCAAATAAAGAGCAAATAGCAACCCAAAATAAATGTGCAATGAGAAATTAGAAGGATTGTTTCAAAATCCATTTTGCTCTTCTTATTAAGAGAATATGGTTTAAATATGTTTCTTGTATTTCTAAAGAAAAGTATTGTTTTATAAAAATATGAAGTTCTATCATTGTTTTATTTTATATCTAAATAAAAATTAAATTATTAGAAATAAGTGATATATTTATTTCTAACTCCAATGAAATTATTTGTTGTGTACAGTATTCATGGAGATGTCACACCAATTAATTTACCATTTTAATTTGAATATCTCGGATTTAACCTATAGAAAGCTTCCTTTATGTATTCATCCATAATGTTGGGTCCAAATGTTCTGAAACTATTTATGTGCTATTTCAGAACATTGTGTTTATTTATGAATATTAGTATCCTTTTCTTGTTTTTATTTCAAATCTGTGCCACTTTGCATTTGACATTTCTTCGTAAATTTTAAATAAAAATGTATTCCATACTCTACAACAGCGGTCCCCAACTGTCCCCAATAAACCTGTGGCCTATTCAGAATTGAGCTCCATGAGTGACTGGCTGGAGTGCATGCATGTGCGTGCCCGCCACTCAAATCATGTGAGTGGCGGGCTGGTAGGCACTTGTGTGCATGTGCATCAGCCTGGTGCTAATGTGAGTTAAGCTCTCTCTCTGTGTGTGTGTGTGTGTGCCAGCGCTCTGCCCATGTGAGCTAAGCTGCATATGTGCAGTTTGGCTCGCCACCCGCACAAGTTAAACTGAGCGTCTGCATGCTGGCCTGCCACAAGGCTTAAATACATTCCTAGCATACAAGAACTCCACATGTAATACATTTCAAAAATCAGTGTAAAATCAGAATAATTGCTTAGAAATAAAAGTGTTTATTCTGCTTCCTACAGATCTGCAATTATGTTGGACCTGCAAAAGTAATAGTGCAGTTAGTCACAAATGGAAAACACGTCCACTTGCATGCTCACAGCTTGGTAGGAAAACATTGTGAGCAGGGGGTATGCACAGTAAATGCAGGACCAAAGGACATGGTAGTGGGGTAAGTAAGTAGTGTCCTTATAAAGTACAATTTCTGTATAATTATGTTATGTAGATTCAGTTCTATCTAAAGTTTTTATTCACTCATTGTTGACTTTGGCTCACCTTTCTAATTTGTGGTAAACCATCTTTTTAAAAAAAGATTAGCAATTAAAATATGAAGAGATGGGAAAGTCTGCAAGTGCATGGTGCCAACTTACAATTTTTGCAGTTTAAATCAGTCTATAGTAGAACAAGAAGGAAAATGGATATAATAAAATCTTGTGGACGATTATTCTTCATTTAGGATTACTATATATGTAAACTGTGATGAAGTACGTCTCCAGGGCATACACATGAATGCATGAACACACCGTTAAGATACAGTCAAATTCCAATGGGAATTTGGTTGTTATTGCTATTTGTTGAAAAGACTTCAATTATTAGTGAATCTGCTTGCATAATGAATTGAAATTGACTATGCATGTCATGGTAGAGAAACAAAATGTTATAATACTTTAGTCATACATAATAATAATCATGGTATAGTTTCATTATATTGTCTAGCTTGAAAATTATAGAAGAAAACGACTGAAGTACTGAGGGAAATAAATGTTTCATTATTCTGAAATAGCTAAGTCCAAGCAAGTAATATAATAATTCCTTTTCTAAATATAATATTTGCAAAAATATTTTTAAGTATTGCTATTTTTTCAATAATTTTCTTGTGATTTTTTTTCTTGATCTTCAGATGAAGAACTAAGATTGATAGTTAACTTCTTATTCAAAGCTGCCTGATTAATAACTGAATAGCAAAAAAATAGAATTGAAATTCTTATGGAAATGTTTCCTTTCCCCCAAATACATTTCTTAAATTCAGTTTCCAGGTTTTTCCATTTTGTTAGAAACTTCTTCCCTAGCTTCCCTAATTACATAGTTAGCCTCTTTCTTCGTTACTAAATTAAATAAATAACTTACTCAAGTTAGATAAAAGTGATTATGAAGTTGACATAAACAGTGGATTCATTGAAGTATTGCATTCCAAGAGCAAAATAACAAAGGGAGTATTAAACCCTAGTTAATCTGCTTTTTTTTTTTTAAAAAAAAAGAGCAAATAAAATACATATATTATTGTTCCTAGGATTGGATTAAGTTTCAGTTAAGTGTTAGTTTGATGTTATATAGGAAGATTTTAGAAATACACATGCAAACATACATACACACACAAAATCCTGGGCAAAAATAGCCAAATAGAAGCTGTGTTTTAGACTTGAAAGACTCGTTCTTTTGATGGTAAGAATCATGTTGTCATCAAACTGAGTGCAGGATTTCAGACTGTTTTCAATTCTGCTTCTAATCTTGAAAGTTTTATCATATTCTTGCTAAGCATACTTAAATTCAGAACATATCATTTGAAGCTACTTATCCAAACATCATACCTTATTTGATGCTCTCTTGCTATTGAAACACAAGCTCTCAAAAACTTTCCTGCATTTAAAAAAACCTTTGAGTGAATTTATCCAATCATTAGCTATAGATTTCCCCCCCCCTAAGTTGCTCAAAGGAATTGGTTTTCCATATCTCATTGCCTGCTTGTAATAGCCCAATTAGGGGGTTTATTGGCTCAACATCATAGTGTGACCTATATATAGTCCTTGAGTGGCATTTAAACCGGGGTTTCTTGGTTCTGGTCTAATGCCTAAATATTTTAGCTTTACAAAAATAGAAAAAGTTGAATAAACATAGGCAATGCAACAGAGTTTGCAACGATTGAGGACAGAGAAAATACTGTATGTTGAGTGGAATAAGGGTAAACAGTATGTTATACCTGAGAAAGTATAGGATATTTCTTCATATAATGATTTGTATTTCTCTACAGATTTCCTAACCTGGGAATATTACATGTTACAAAGAAAAAAGTATTAGAAACACTGGAAACCCGCATGATTGATGCGTGTAGAAAAGGGTACAATCCAGGACTCCTCGTTCACCCCGACCTCAATTATATACAAGTAGAAGGTGGAGGGGAGAGGCAGCTAACAGGTAGGTCAGGAGTTACCTCTGTGGCACATGTGAAATAAATGCTATTTTAAATTCCTCTTGTCTCTTTTTTATCATATTTTATGATCAGCAGTCAGGAAAAGAATGATACCTCCTTCAAATTTGTTAATATAACGTTCAGTGGGAAAGAAAATAATTTCTTTTATGGTGCATATTCCTTTGATTCTTTTTCAGTATTTGTTTCTGATCTATGGATCTCTCACATTCTTGAATATTGTCAACTCCTTTTCTTTTTCTTTAACTCTTGGTCAAAGTAATGTTTAGCATTTAAACATGCATTATGTAATTCTTTTTAAAACCACTTTGCATGTTGAATAGCTGGGTGGGTGATTTTGAATTGAATGGGGAATTTGGAATTTCCTATATCTCTTGAAGAAATAGCAGTGGTATTTGTGTGCATGCTTGAGAAGGTTTGAGCATATAAAAAAACTGTTCAGAAGAATCATAAAGTTGAATATAATGTATCTTTACTATAATGCCAACTGTGTGTCCTACGCTTTGGCTTCCATCTGACCTCTTGCTTTCGTCACTGAAATGGTTAGACCTCCTCTTAATTCAATTTTTGTGCCTGCTTTCTCTTTCACTTACCATTACCACCATTAAGACACTTTGCTACAATGATCCATTGTCTTCTCCACTGTTTGCAGAACGAGAACGCGAAATCATTCGTCAGGCAGCACATCAACAAACTAAGGAGATGGATCTCAGTGTTGTTCGGCTCATGTTCACTGCATTTCTTCCTGATAGCACTGGTAGCTTTACAAGAAGACTTCAGCCTGTCTTGTCTGACCCTATATATGACAGCAGTGAGTGCCTTTTGACTTTTCTTTCCATGCTGGAGCCAAACCCCAGTCTGAATAGGATTTTGTTGTAAGGTTGAATATTCAGGCATAAGCAATTTCTCCTAACTGATGTTTTGAAAAGGATATGAAAAGCTTACATTTTTTTAAAAAAACACACAGAAAAATATCACTTAATATCTAAAGAAATGTTTCTGTAGTTGCAGTATTCACATATATTCCTCTCCCTGTTAGTACGATTGCTATCGTTCCTGAAAGTTGTGACTGAAGTTATATAAAAAAACCACTAGGCATAAGCCCTAGGTCAATGCAGTGAAATATGGTTTGAAACAAATGATACAAAATGGTTCTTAAGTCAAAGAGAATTATATTTCACTATTCTCTCTACACTGCAGTTAAAATCTTTAAAGACAGTAGTATACAGAATGCAATTCAAAATATTCATATGGGATAAAAATCTTCAAATTGATATAGTGGTGATTAAGAGCTGCTTGTAAAATCTTGTAGGTAGAATTTAATGGCTGTTGCGAAGAGGTATTATAAGTAGCTCATCACTGAAACTTCTATACATATGATGAAAGTAAGGAGTCAGAAAAGTCAAACTGATGACTGCAATCACACTATCACTCTTTCCCTCCCCCCTTTTGTTTACAGTGTTGAATATTGTCAAAGGAAGCAGGGGTTCCATGATAGGGATACCATCACCAGCTCCACTTTAATTTAGTCCCTTGTGGATTATACTGTATCATATTGTGCAGTACAGCTAGATGCTGTTTTGGTAATTGTTCTTTGCTTTTATACCAGACTTTCCAAAATTTCTATAAGCCAGTTTTTATACATCCTCTGTCTTAGATAAGCCTTCCAGCCATGTGTCTGCTTTTTTGTATTGATATACTGAACATCTGGAACCCAGTTATATATCTGTACTTTTGAATCCTCGTGTATAATAGCTGAATGTGCCAGTTGTCAGAGAAGGAACATCCAATGTTAGCAGCATTGACCAATAATATTAATGATCAAAGAAGACGTAATAATCAAATGTTGACAATCTTTTTATTCATACAACCTTTCTATAAGAACATAAGAAGAGGATTACATTTTATTTTTTATTACATTTTTTTAAAAGTAAAAATAAAAAATATAACAACAATAATAATAATAATAATAAATTAAACAGAAAACAAAAACAAATGAAACACTCAAATGGCATACTCAGTGGACCACTGGATTGTTTTCTGCCATCAGTTTTTATATTTCTATATTAAATGTTATATTGTGCTTTTCCTTTCCCCCATCCATAAACCTTTATGGAATACTTTTTTTCTTATGGCCGTATTTTTATGTATTTATTACTTATTTATTTCTATGTGTATGGAACAATCTCAACCCATCTCAAAATTATGACTCAAGGTGGCTAGAGAACCATCTAGAGAAATGAAATAATAAATGCATAATTGGCAACTGAGGTAAAACTACAAAACATCAAATCAATGTTTTTTGATATTAAAAAGTGGCATGGATATCCCTATACAAGAAGTCTTTGTCTTGCAAAGGGACTTACGATTGGTTTTCACTTATGACTGTTACAGCATCCCTTGGTCATGTGATCAAAATTTGGCCACTTGGCAACTGGCATTGATTTATGACAGTTGCAGTGATCGTTTGCCACCTTCTGACAAGCAAAGTCAATGGCAAAGCCAGATTCACTTAACAACCATATTACTATCTTAACAACTGCAGTAATTCACTTAACAGCTGTGGCAAGAAAGGTCGTAAAATGGGGCAAAACTCACTTAACAATTGTCTTACTTAGCAAAGGTAATTTTGGGTTCAGTTGGTCATAAATCAAGAACTTTCTGTAATATTTTCTTATTTTACTCTATGGATTAGTGTTGTATATTTTGTAATGCTGTTTTGGAGATGATGCAGCCAAGTTGGGAGAAAATTCTTGTTGCTGAAGTAATTAGAAGTCGACTTAATTCTTTCTTTAATTTTGTCTCCCCAGAAGCTCCAAATGCATCCAATTTAAAAATTGTACGGATGGATCGGACTGCAGGCTGTGTAACAGGGGGAGAAGAAGTTTACCTCCTTTGTGACAAGGTCCAGAAAGGTGTGAACTCAAAACTGCATCTATCATGCTTGAACACACATAAACATATGCTGGGAATCAGTAAAGGTGGCCAACAAGGAAAGAGCTGGATGCTATTAGGACAATCAACTGTGTCTCAATTTAATCTATTTCACAAGCTTGTTCCAAAAATAAAGTATAATTTAAAAATAATGCAACTGAATTCTTCAAAGGAAGAATGAGATAAGAAGGCAGCTAAATATAGATTCCAATAAAGGAGAACATTTGTAGCCCTGGGTTGAAATGACGGGTCCGTGATGCTCTTTGAGTTTGGTTGTTTTCTTGAAGCTGCTTCATTACCCAAACCAGGTAACATCATCAATGCTAGTTAGTACAGGTAGTCCTCGACCTACAACAATTCATTTAGTGATGGTTCAAAGTTACAACGGCATTGAAAAAAGTGACTTATGACCGTTTTTCACACTTATGACCGTTGCAGCATCCCCACGGTCATCTGCTCAAACTTCAGATGCTTGGCAACTGATGTTTGCAGTGAACTGGAGACATATGATCACATTTTGAAACTTTCTGACAGGCAAAGTCAATGGGGAAACCAGATTCACTTAATAACCGTGGCAACTGCAGTGATTCACTTAACAACTGTGGCAAGAAAGGTTGTAAAATGGTGCAAAACTCACTTAACAAATGTTTCCCTTAGCAATAGAAATTTTGGGCTCAGTTGTGGTCGTAAGTTGAGGACTACCTGTGCTAGCACTAATGATGCTACCTAGTTTGGATAATAAATATAAATTGCTGTCCTGTTTTCTTTTGGGGGGGGGAATGGGAAATTTGTACCATAAAATTTATTAATACAATATGCTTCTATATACTGGAGATTTGCAATAATTATTCCAAAGCCAAAACTTGATTTGATTTTAATTAGTAATAAGAAAGATTTGTAAATGATAAAAAGATATCAAGTCTGACAAAGTCCTTCCCAATCCAAGATAGGGAAGTGAAATAAATTTCTTAACTGATTTAAATAAGACTCTGAGTAAATGGAAACTCCAAAGTGGGGTTTTCCCTTAGCAAGTATGTTTTTTCCTTGCAACAGCATTAATTGAAATCTCTCCAGCCTAGCGAATTGAAATGTATACTGAGAAATGTGATTTTTTTTATCAATAAACATTTCTATATTAAAGAATTTGATATAGCATCTATTATCAAAAACTCTCCATAATTAGTAAGAGGAAAAAACTGGCCAGCACTCAAGAAGAAAGTATACGCTTAAACAGAGTTGACAGCCCACAGGTTTTCTCCATTTAGACATGCCCGAAGTATATGGGGATTACATCTCTGCATCTCTGTAATTTTTAACATAGGCTACATTGAACTTGTTTTAGTAGCAACTATACAGTAAACTGTCTTATTTTAATTAAGAAAAAACAGAAACATTAGCTATAACATTGTTAACAATGCGTTTTTTGGTGGTACAGCTTAGTCCTTCCCAGATTTCTTAAGAAAATATTGTAACCTTTGTTGCATAAGTGTTTCTGCTTGTTGTGCACAAGCTGTAATTTTTTATTTTATTTATATGATTCCAGCACTAGGAAGAGACAAGACAAGAAGAGAAAGTAACAATTTAAGAATCATTAAGGTTCTTCCTGCTCAATTGGATTATATTGATACTGGAATTGGGGTTTTTTTTAACTCCAAATTTGCACTTTTCCCCAATAAGACAATCCATTTGGGAATACTTCATAGCTCTGGATTTCCTAAACACTTTTCCCTTCCTGGAGCATAACACTACTGTTATGCTTAATTTTCTGCTTCCCAAATCCTTCCAATTTTTTCCATAGTTTTGAAGATCTTGTATTTTATTTCTGTTCTTCACAGGGTTACTTCACTATTTAGCATATGATGAGAAAATAATAGAAAAGAAGTAAACATATGCACACTATCCACGTAATTATATACAAAACTTTTACAGAGGTATGGCTGTGGTCTCATAACTGGATGTCCAATTCAGCTATCTAGGCAATTGCTTCTAGTGATTGTTTCGTGCACAACTTCTAAGGAACCAGAGAATGCATGTCATGGGTAATAGTTTAATGGTTTGCATATCAGCACCACAATCGTAACCAGTCCTTTTTTTGTAAAAAAAAAAAGGTGCCGGAACTCACATATGTCATACAACCTGCCTTGCCTACCCTACAAGGTTCCATCTAAAAAAGGTGGTGGAACTCCATTCTGGGCGTTCTATGAGAAAAAAAGCCCTGATCGTAACAAGAGGAATCTTTCCATCCCATTGATACAGGGCAGAGGCGCTTCTTCCAGTATCACATCTAATTCTCTTCAATTTCATCCAGACAAAATTGTGTGTGTGCATGCGTCTGTCTTTGAGTCAGTGTTGACTCCTGCTGAGTGGCAAATCCCTGCAGTTTTCTTGGCAAGATTTCAGAAGTGGTTTTCCTTACCTGCTTCTTCTTAGGCTGAGAGAGAGTGACTAGCCCAAGTCACTGAGTTCACTTTGTGCCTAAGGTGGGACTAGAACTCATAGTTTCCTGATTTCTAGCCTAGTGCCTTAACCTCTAGATTAAACTAGCTCCTATTATTTCAGTATGATGGACAGAAACATACTCTTCCTTTTTGACAATATTATTCCAGCCTCCACTTCTCTACTTCTGTTAAAGTTCACCTGTAAAATACAAAACCAGATTGCTGCAACTTAGCAGATTACATCTTGATTCCTTAGCCATATGGCTCTGATTATTTAAAAAAGAACATGTTCTTATGCCAGATGGACAGCTTATGGATAGAGGAAAAGAAAATCATCAGCTTTTACTTTGTTTTCTCAACTTTCTTTATAAACGGTTAGCTTTCTTGCCACACATTCTTATCTAGGACATAAAATGGTAAGGCTTTCTTGAGAGAGGGAGAGAGACTCTGAATTGACTAATGCTGGCCTAGTCAGAATCTAAAGTTTTCCAGCATCTGTTTTCTGTTTTGGACAAAAGAAATGGAGGGGTGGGTGATGGAACAGTCAAATTGTTCCCAGATTTGGATACAACTTGGAAATGTTTCTACAGAAAGGCCTTCTTTTGCATAATTGTTCACCACACATCATTTGGCTATTAGCACGCTGGGAGAAACAAAGCAAAGTCTCAGGAAATGTCTGGAAGAATGTTAGCACAACTTTAAAAATCAATTAGCAGTGCTTTAAATTGGATCTAGACCATGAATGTAAAATTTGAAACAATACAGTCTTTGCAACCTAACCCAGCCCACTTTAAGTCATCCTGAGGCTCCCGCTATTGCATTAAAGCAGAGGGTAAACATGAATCATGACCTATTATTCATGTTTTCTCTCTTACAGATGATATTCAAATCCGTTTTTATGAAGAAGATGAAAGTGGTGGTGTCTGGGAAGGTTTTGGAGACTTTTCGCCTACTGATGTGCACAGACAGGTAAGTTCTTTTGGCAAGGAATTATAGTGATAACATATACAACAAGTTTTAATTTGAGGCATTTAATTTCTAACAGTTCTCAGGGTTTGAAAACCTGATCACTTCCTATGATTTCAGTGAAGTAATAATGAATGTACATACAGAGATGTATTAATCAGAAAGAAGATAATATAGTATGCAAATATATTAAATATATAAATTATTACATTTCACTGTACTTATCTTGATCATCTATGTCATGATTGCCTACAGTTTGCAATAGTATTCAAAACACCGAAGTATCGAGATGTCAACATTACGAAAGCAGCATCTGTTTTTGTTCAATTACGACGAAAATCAGATCTAGAGACCAGTGAACCAAAGCCTTTTCTGTACTATCCTGAAATCAAAGGTAATTGTCAATGCTGTGTTATATTGCATATTGTAGAAGACATGCATCTTTTTAGAAAACCATCAGTATTAGAATTCTTCTACCTATTGTAATATATTGCATATTAGTTAATATTATGGACCTTATATGAATTCCAGAATAATAGTGTTGCCAACAAATCATTGCTGCATTTAACATTTTGCTCATTATAAAAAAATAGAATTAATACAGTGGTCAATAAGGAAAAGAGCCATGAGATAAAAATACAGGCATCATGCAGACCTTCTTATACTGTATACAGGAAGTCCTTGACCTACAAAAGTTCATTTACTGACAGTTCAAAGTTACAACGGCATTGAAAAAAGTGACTTACGACCATTTTTCACACTTATGACCATTGCAGCATCCCCATGGTCATGTGATCAAAACTCAGATGCTTAGCAACTGACTCACATTTATTGACGGTTGCAGTGTCCCAGGTTCATGTGATCCCCTTTGGCAATCTTCCGACAAGCAAAGTCAGTGAGGAAGCCAGATTCATTTAACAACTCTGCTACTAATTTAATAACTGCAGTGATTCACTTAACAACTCTGACAAGAAATGTCATAATTCACTTAACAAATGTTTCGCTTAGCAACAAAAATGTGGGGCTCATTTGTGATCGTAAGTTGAGGACTGCTTGTATGGAGATGTGTTGGAATGATTGGTGGTGATGGTGGTTATTGTAGAGGCTTCCCATATTTCTTTTCCAGCCCATGAGTAAAATGCTCCACCGCCTGGTAGTTTCCACAATGGAAAAGCTATTCTATGTCTAGCAAGAAAAGCCATTCGTTACTTTCAAATTTTCAACTTTTTGAACACTGTAATTACATCAGAGCCATTCCTTTGTAGCCTTGGGTTACTTTTCCATTAGTCAGAATTCTCAGTAAACTTCTTGGCTCCTAGATTCAATTTAACCATTTAATTTCCCTATAAACCAATGACAAACAGCAGCGGAAATCAACTTCTCTTTCCTGATAACTGTGAAAACTTTGTTTAGTAAGCATTCCCTTCCCAACTAGTTTATTAATAGTATTTTTCTTCATTCACAAACATCCAGACTTTGTAGCAGAGGGTGTGCACACTAATTAGCCAATGATTTCTTCAAGTTCCAGAGTTAAAAATATAGGCAATCAAAGATGATAGTGTTGTGTAAATCAGGCCCACTCTGAAGAAAGGCACTAAAACTGCACCAACTTGATTTTATCATGCCTTTTAAAGATGGGAAACTTAAGCTTGATATCTGTCTTAAGCTCTTAATGGATGTACCCAAATCCTGGATTTCTTAACTATTTACTGATTCAAGTAAGCTGTATAAACACAGGATTCCTTAAAGTATCATCATACGTTCTTTTTTAAAAAATGAATGAAATCATGTTTATCTATTATCTGAGTTTTGGTTTTGTTGTTTTGACAAGAACTATCTTCAGCAATATTGTCATATCAGTTGTGAAATATCTATGTGTCACATTAATGGGGAACAGGAAGAACAGAATACTGATTCTTGGATAATAGAAAGGGAGTGTTATTGATTACAGTTGATAGAAACACCAGTTATTTTAATTATGTGTACCTATAAAGACTGAATGATATTTACTGATACAGTCAAGAAAGAAATAGTTTTTTTCATTTATTGATTCAATATGTAAATATGTGTAACATTGATTCAATATGTAAACTTATCAAACTGGTTTCTCAAAAATCCTCTGTGATTTTTTTAAAAAATAATGTCACACTCTTGGTATTTATTTGATAAGTATGTTTGACAATTTTTCCAAGAGTCCTATTTGGCAAATTTGCATTTTAATGTTGTCAAATAATTTTGTTCCTGATAGTTTAATAATTTCTTTATGATTTCATTGTTTGACTTATATTCTTAAAAGTACTATAAATTTCTTTCTCTTGAAAAACGAATTAGAGGTAGAAATAGCTCACTTATTTTCTAAAGAATTGGAATATTCTCTGAAGTATTTTTTGTCTCATCACATTCAATTCTGATTATTCTAGTCAGGCTGTAATCATGTCCATTTTTTAAAGGATATAGTACTTGATCCGTGATGTCCAAGATAGGTGATGTCTCAGTTCTTCTCAGGTGCCTTTACTTTGCTTCCCATCCCATACTGTTTTCCATCAATAATGACTCAGTCTCCATTTGTAGTTTCAATTCTGTGGCGAATCTTTACTTTCCTGTAAAGGTATTGCATGACAGATAAGCCTACATGAGCTCCTTCATTTTCACCAGATGCCTCTATTCATAATGAATATTGGAACTAAATTTTACTTATGTTCACTGTACTGAGATAGAAACATATAGCAGACCTTGATTAAAATAATTTAATTCTTTTAAATGTTTTATTATATACAACATGGAAATGAATGAGCAAGCTAGCAATAATGCAGCCCATAGACTGAATGTGGTTTGGCAAAAAAGTAGACTCATTCTTGGCATTGCCCACAGATAAACAAGAGCAATTATTTCAATATCAAAATAGAGCTTGTCTCTCATTCTTACAAATACTCAGAAGCAAAGCTGATCTCAAATCAGTCTGAATTTGTGAGAATGAAATCTATCACACCTGAGGAAAGTATTTAAAGGGTGAAAGGATTGATATATAACAAGCAAAAACATGTAGATAAGATGGACAAATGAGGGAACAATTGGTTTATTCTTCATAGGTTGTTATGATAACTGACAGGAAGTGATGTGCTTTAGGGAATTTCCAGGTTTACCACTGAATTGATGAACTCTGTACACTTCTTTTTTTAGGATTCAGAAATCTTTGCGGTATACAGTTGAACTTTGCAGAAACTTTCAAAAACTCCCTAGGCACCTACTGAACTATCCTGGGGTTGGTTGGCTATCTATCTGTATAATTTGGGGGAATTGCCCAGATACAGTGGCCTACTTTGGTGCTCAGACTTTAACTATAATTATTAATGAAGTTGCAAGTATACCAGTTGAATATTGTCCAAGTCTAGGAATACATATTTATTTTATATTATTGTTTCTCTTTAGTACACTCCTAAATTGGGTGGCTGGGTGTTACTCCAAGGGGAAAAAACCTATATGGAGAATCATTTAAGAAAATATAACTTTGAAGAAAAGAATGTTAATAAAGCTCATGTTTACCCAGAAGTTATCTTATACCAGTGGTGGCGAACCTATGGCACTCTCTGTGGGCACAATGCCGTTGCCCCAGCCTTGCCTCCCCCGTGACCCCCTCTCACCAGCAGCCCCCCTGGAGGAGAGTCGCCCCCGAGCATGGCCCACGCGGAGCAGTGCAGCCAAGGAAATGGCAGCCAGCCAGAGTAGACAAGACTCTGCCCTCATGCCCCATTGTGCACAGTTGATGCTGTGGGGCGCGGGCAGAGGCCATGGCCGCCATGGCGCTGCTGGGCGATCTGCAGCAGGCCCTGGAGGTGGTGAGTGGCCCTGCGGGCAGGCGGGGTGCGGGTGGAGCAGGAGTGGGGCAGGGGGTGGAGCGGGGGCAGGGCCAGTTTTGGGGCACTCGGTCTCTAAAAGGTTCGCCATCACTGTCTTATACCTATCAGACTTTTTATGCAACTTGCCTACCATAAGAACAGTTTTCAGAGATCTTGGCACATTCAAATTCACATCCACTGCTTTTTAATATTTTTCTTAACTGGAAATGCCAAAGATTGATTTTGAAATTGGTTGTAAATGAAATATGTTTTTGTCCTACTCTGCTATTCTATTGTTCCTCTGCTTTTCTCAATTTTTTCTTCTTCTTTGGACTGATTATTAATATATTATAGGTGTAATATGGTATTCTGATTCTCATGGGTATTTTCCCATCTCTCTCTCTCTCTCTCTCTCTCTCTCTCTCTCTCACACACACACACACACACACACACACACACACACACACACACCCCTGTCTTTCTGTCTGCCTGTCTATCTATTTATCTATCCACCAACCAATCAATCTATATTGTGTGGAGTACCTCAAGTTCTGTCTTGGCCCAGTGGTGTTTAACTTCTTCATAAATGACCTAGATGTGGGAATTAAAGAGCAAATTTCCACATGATACTAAGCTGGGGTAAATTGCTGATACTTTAGAACAGAGGTCCCCAACCTTTGGGGCTGGTTCCGTGGAGTTTTTTCCAAGGACTGGATGTGCGTGGTTTTGTGTGCTGCCTGCATCCTATGGATGGAGCTTTGCTTGTTTGTGTGGACTGGTTGCTGGCATGCCGTGGCCCAGTGCTGGGCCATGGACCGGGGGTTGGTGATCCCTGCTTTAGAAGATAGACTCAAGATTCAGAAGAATCTTGTCAGACTTCAACGCTGGGCCCTATCTAACAAAATGCAGGTCAGTGGTGAGAAAAATAAGATTATGCATTTAGGCAGGAAAAACTAAATGCACAGGTAGTTGATACTCATTACCTGGCTCAACAGTAGATCCTGTGACTCTGAGAGATCACTGCCTAAGTATGAATCAAGAGTGTGCTGCAGCCACCAAAAAACCCCAATTCAGTCCTAGGCTGCATCAACAGAAGGATAGTATCAAGATCACAAGCACTGATAGCCCTGCATAAGGAAGATCACATTTGAAATACTGTGTCCAATTCTGGCCACCTTGAGACAAAAAAGATGCTGAGGCCCTAGAAATAGGACAGAGAAGAGCAAGAAAGATGATAAGGAGTCTGAAGGCCAAATCATACTATGAGCGGCTAAGGGAACTAGGTATGTTTAGCCTAATGAAGAGAAGGCTTGAGGGAACCCTGAAAGGCTGTCACAGGAAGAGGGGGTTCAATTTATTCTCCATAGCATCTGAGGAAAGGACAAGAAGCAATAGGTGGAAACTCATGAGAGGGAGAACAACCTGGAAATAAGGAGGTTTCCTGACAGTGAGAGTGATTAATCAATGGAACAACTTGCCACCCGGAGTTGTGGGTGCTCCATCACTAGAAGCTTTCAAGAAAAAAAAAAGACAATCATTTGTCTGGGATGATATAAGGACTCCTGCCTTGGGCAAGGGGTTGGACTAGAAGTCCTTCAAGGTTCCATTCAGTTATATGATTCTGTGACTCTACTAAGGAAGATAGTAGGCTTCACTAGTTATGTTATAAACTAGTCATGTTTAACAGACGCTGGGGAACCATCTGTTTTAGATGCTTTAATTTAAATTGCTGTTGGGCTTGATGGACTGACTAGTTTCAGTTCCATGAGTAGGATTCAATTTATATGCTTTTAGCCAAATAAGTTAATTAGTAACATCAAAGGGGAAGTAGGATAGGTCCATAAATTAGTTTGAGAACTGCCTTAGCTGCTAGTATAAGATATCTCTTGACCTATTTTTTGCATTGTTCATATCCTGGTGTAAATCCAAATACAATTAGGCTTCTTACTTGCCTATAATTAATTGGAAGAGCTTAATATAAGTAAAAATGCTCTTAGGAGTGGCTTGGACACACAGAGAATGCTTATATCAGTTCCTCTCTCATTCCATTTTTGTCATTTGTGCTGTTTCCCTAACTTCCATGGGCTATTTTGACTGTTCTATCTTTTCATGATACAGAAGTCTTTTTTCTCTATAAGAAAACATAACTCCTTCTATCTAGATCACGAGTGTCAAACTCAATCATGTCACATGACATATCGTGATGTATTGCAACATTTTTTGCCTTTGCGGAACCAGGGTGGGTGTGGCCTGCATGTGACGCATCTGGCCCGTGGGCCACCAGTTTGACACCCCTGATCTAGATGGTTGTCCTCTTTCACCAAGCATACAGCTTCAGAAGAGAAACACATGGAGTGATCAGGGGGAAGGGAATGCCCACCTAGACAACCAGATCAGCTGAACAATCATCAATCAATGGAGTGACAGATGTTACAGCCAGTTCACTGTCATAGTTGTTAATTAAATGTTCATAATTGAGTAACAATAAACATTCCATGCTCTGCTGTGGGATCAACATAGTTCCTGAAATACATTTGGCAATTCTTCATGTGTATACATGAAGCAACCCATTATTAAAGGAAAAAGAAAATGGGAAGGAATATATCTGAAAAGGAAGAAAATCTTAGGAGCCTAGTAAAGCTGGTTTGATCAGGAAGTCTGTAATTTATTGTCACATCCTGGTCAGATAGCCAAATAAACATACACTTAAATTAGAATGTCTCCCTTATATTAGTCTATTATGACATCTTGTATTATAGACTGTGCCTCAGTTTTCCCAATATTGCCCAAACAACATATCCAGCAATGAAAGAGGAAGGGCAGACTCCTTGAAATAGGGCTTCAGAAACTCCATTATACAGCACAACTATCTGTTTTATTCATTATTTATACAGTCATGCTCTTACAAAATATGAGAATTCAATTCATATTTACGTAATTTACAGCAGTAGCAGCAGATGTTGTTCCCTATTTGATAGCCTGTTTGTTGCCTTCTGAAACAGATGGAGGTGCCTTAAGGATTTGGTGGCCTCTCTCTCATATTTCTTTTGTCAAAAATGTAGATAAAGAAGAAGTACTAAGAAAACGACAGAAGCTCATGCCGAATTTCTCCGATAGCTTTGGTGGAAGTGGCGCAGGTGCTGCAGGAGGTGGAATGTACGGAGGAGTAGGAGGAGGAGGCGGTGGCAGTGCTGGATCAGGTAAAGAAAAATGTTAATGGGATAATGAAAGAATAGTGGAAGGTGCATTAGGAAGTGGCTTTTCTTTTCATTTTGGATTGTCACTATGATAGCTGGGTTTTGTTTTGCAGGAGATTTAGGGAACTTAAGAAGTTATGTTTTTGTGTGTGGCCCCATACAGGGCTGATTCTAAACTATCAGCTATACCGCTATCAGTACAGTCCATAATTATGCACTTAATTCTCTGTGGAGTTAGGTTCTGCATATTAATTGAATTGTAAATTAAGTAATGTATTACTTTATTCAATTTAATGTCTTTATGAAGACAAATTTACACAATAACATTTTTCATCCCTAAAAATCAAATATTTTCACATATATTTATCTTAATACCGTACGTTTTTATGCACAGTTGGAGAAGAGATGTCTATTAAGAACAATTGTCCTTTAATTTAAATGTAGGTAATGTATTACACAAAATTTACATAAAAATTTACATAAAATGTATGAATTATTGGAGTACAGTTTGGCAAAGCAGTGCACACTTATTTATTTATTTAAATTTAGGCAAACTGACTCTAGGTGGCACACAAAAGCAATAAAACACAATATAAAACAAGACAAGACAAACTGACAAATTTTCTTACTGTATTCAAATTTTATAAAAATCATTCTCTTTTTAATTAAAAGAATTATTAGTGAAGGTCCAATATGTTATTAATTCTTTTATGACCTGTACATGTATACTGTATGTATATGTATAAACATTTTCTTTCTGTGGAAATAGCAATTATTGTTTTGTTGTTGGGCAAACATTGTACCATCCATATTGAACTCTTAAATAAGAATAAATAAATGTACTTACGTAATTGTTCTTGATTAATTTTTGAATTAGTATTACCTAAGAGTAAATTAATGTGTAGCCTTAGGCTTATAGTTGCAGTGATAAATACCATACCTGATAGTGCATTTCTGGGTGAATGCTAATAGAATGTGCAATAATAACATATATCCTTGAAGAAAAGTTGGATTGTTGATAGAATACACCAAAAAGCTTCCCAAGGGGGAAAAAAACAATATTTGCTATAATTGTATTTGCTATAACAGTATTTGCTATAATTGCAAGAAAATTACTTTACTGACCTATACATAGTTAATGTCAGACCTATTTATACTGTGTAACCTATTATATACAGTATATAATGAAGTTTTAAAAGCATGCTTTCATATGTGTTTAAATCATGTATTTTAATGTTTCTATACTTATAATGAAATATCCATGGAAAGCAACATATTAAGCATAGGTATTGCATAGCCTGCTTCTTGTTATACCTCTGAGACCCTGAATCCTGTAATTTATCTTTGTTATGTGGATGGATCCATTTGTATTACTTAGATTTCTATTTTGTCTGCTATAGATAGTGAATTAGTCTAAATAATGTATGTTTCTCTTGTTTATGATAAAATTAGAAAGAGATGACATGACACGAACATGTTATAAACATCTATAGGTGCCACTGTTACAATGGCAGTGAAAAAAGTGACTTATGACCATTTTTCACACAACTATTGCAGCATCCCCAGGGTCATATGATCAAAATTCGGACGCTTGGCAATTGACTCATATTTATATCGGTTGCAGTGTCCTGGGGTCAAGGGATCACCTTTTGTGACTTTTTCACAAGCAAAGTCAATGGGAAAGCCAGACTCACTTAACAACCGTGTTACTAAGCAACTGTAGTGATTCGCTTAACAACTGTGGCAAGAATGGTCATAAAATGGGGCAATATTCACTTAGCAAATGTCTCAGGAACAGAAATTTTGGGCTCAATTGTGGTCGTAAGTCATAGTTCCTTCGTGAATCCTGTTCATCCCAAAAAAACTACAATTAATGAGGTATCTTTTAATCTGGTTTTTTTTTCCTTTTAGGATATGGGTACCCACCATATGGGTTTTCCAGTTATGGCGCAATGCATTTCCATTCCAGCACAAACAAAAGTGGTGCAGGAATGAAACACGGTAAAAATCAAAGGACTTTCCCCCCCCCCTCATTTCTGTTATGCATTGGAATATAATTCTTCGTGTTATTACTGTTAGTAGTCAAGTAATCTAAATGTGATTACTCACATTCATGTAATTTTTATAGTATTTAATTCCACCTATATGTATAGTCTTTGTAAAGAAAGTTTGATGGCTTCTTGTCTCAAGGCCACACAATCTGAAACAACCAATCTAGGAGGGAATATGAAAAAGGGAAGAATGGGTTTGCCCAGTTCATAGTTACCATAGGGCAGGGGTAGGCAACCTTGGCTCTTTTATGACTCATGGACTTCAACTCCCAGAATTCCTGAGCCAGCTATGCTGGCTCAGGAATTCTGGGAGTTGAAGTCCATGAGTCATAAAAGAGCCAAGGTTGCCTACCCCTGCCATAGGGCATGGATTGAATTGGATTGGATTCCCTTAAATGGGACCTAGATTGAATACTAGGAGCAGACAAAGCCAGGGTTAGAAAGATAGCGCCAAGTAGAGTATTAAATGGGCCATCGCTTTTCTCTTTAACACCACCTTCTGTTCATTTTTCTTTTTCTGCCTCAGTTCCTTTCTTGAAACATCTCTTTTGTGTGTAGAATACAAATCCATTTTTTAAATAATTATATTTTTATAAAAATCCAGAATCCAAGTGTTTTTATTCGTGGTAGTAGCGAATGGTAATATAGCCCGCAGAGGAAAGGAGACAATCCTTTCTGCTGAAAATCTACACAAAAATTAGACCAAAAATAGTCAACAGAATAGTTTTTATGAAGCTCACGTGTTGCAGGGGAGAACATACTTCAGGAAAGTCAGAATCTACAGTTGAGCAAAGTTATCCTTATATTTCCAGATAATCATCCTCATAATCTCAAACACAAACACAACCAGCATCCACTTGAAGCGAGGTCCTGTTGCAGTCAGTTGCAACTTGGAGGGCAGTGAGGGGTAGCATAGCCAAGAGGATATAAAATCACATCTGAAAATGGTGCAAATCACTTCCCCCTAGCCCTTTGGGCATTCAGATTGGTTGTGCCAAAAACTTTATGAAACAATGTCTTTGATTGGTGGGAAATGATGTCTGCTTCTCTTCGCTTTCACTTTGAATGTAATAGAGGACAAGCCAGAGCTTTTACCATCTACACTCTGATGCAATATGCCCACTGGTTTTGTTGGGTTTTAATTAAAAACCTCCATGTTTCTCCCTTTTTAAGAAGTCTCAAATAGCATGCCCAAAGGGGAGAACGAAATGTGCTGTAACAAAAAACACAACAAGAAAGTAAAGGAAAAAGTAGAGATTGAAGATAAAAGTGAAACCAGCACCGACTCGGTTTCTGGGATGGAAGAAGATGCTGGTACTAACATTCATTTACAAGGTAATCTGAAAAGTTTACTTAGCATTCTTGCAATTATTTAGGAAGGTGAAGTACAGATGAAGCCTTGACTCTTAAATGCAATTCTTAGATGAATTGTGCAATGCCAGATAGTCAGATTTGATCATTTTTGGAAACTGAGAAATCAATTTTCTAATTCAGGCATCTTCTAGTTATTTATTCAGAATTATTAGAGGCATCTGTATCTTAAAATGTGCTGTTTTATTATTATAACCTATCATCCAGAAATGACTGGTGTGCTGCTTTAAGTTTTATAAATCTGGCTTTAAAATTCCGTTTTGGTTCAAGAAATAACATGCTCCTTGGACATAAGAATCCTAATGTACACATGTGTAAAAATGTATGTGTACATGTATGTGTTTCAGTGCATGTGTGCATTTATTAATATGATTTAATTTATCCTTTTCTGAGCCTAACTTTAGCTGACTTTATAACACTTTAATGATATAACCTGCAACATCAGCTAAATAACAAAATAAACCAACATTGCAGTGATAAATAGATTGTGGCTAAATATATAAAAAAAGTGAGGATATGAATTTAAACCTTTATAAATAGAGTTTTAAACCATGGAGGCATGAGAGAACAAAATGGTTACATAGTGTTTCAAGACTAACAAAAGCTGAGTAATATTAGGGGGGGGGATCCATAATCAGAGTGCCCCAAAGAAGTTACATTTCTTGCTGTCCATCTAAACTTCAGTGTTGAGAATACTTGAAGCAGAGCCTTCAAAGGTTATGCGAAGTCTTGTTGGAAGAGAGGAACTTGCCAATCCTCCTTTTCACTGAAGTAAATGTATTATGTGAAACATATCTTAGAAAACAAAGATTATGCATGAAAGAATTTTTTGTGCAATTGCATACAATGCATGTCACTTCACATTAATTAACAAGCACAATAATTGATTAAATCTTAAACTTTGTGGGTACTTTTGTGACCAAGCAGTGAAACAGCTTTAACAGTTTTCCAAGGTATTCTGTATAAAAACAAAGTTATTATTTAACAAAGTTGTTATTTAACATGAGAATCTAAAGCCCCTGTACCTTCTTTGAGCCCTGCCAGATAAACAGCCTTACAATCTTCTAGCCCTTTTGATTCCAGCATCAAATACACCAGAGACCAGGCTGTTGTGTTTCTTGGCAGCTCTCTGCACCGTAACTCTTCCCAAAGGAATAGCAGTTCTGTTGAAGCAAGCAAAGGTGAAATTAGCCAGAGGGAAACAGCAATAGACAGCTGGAATTGTCCTACTGTATCATTGTTCATGGCTTGTCAGTTTCAAAGAAAGCAATGCCTTGAAATAGAAATTTCACATCTACACAAATAGTAGCACCATTGTACGATTGCACCTAGTCATGGTGCTGCTTGAACCTAGGATTGTTCAGTTTAGTGGGCCATCAGAAACACATTGAGAAAAGGAAGAAAATATTTCTCAATTACCCTTCATCTCCTTCAACGCCTACTGGAGCCTTAGAGTTTTGGGACGAAGCCTATTTCTACTTTTCTCCAGATTCTTGAATAATTTAGTGTATTGAATAAATTACAGAATACAATAAGTACATTTATATTGGAACTTACCAGTTTTTTGTTTGTGACATGGATGCTTTGTGATTGGCTATGGTAATTATTATTATTTTTTACTAGTTTCCATCTTTGTAGAACCGGTGTGCAATCATTTTGGCTTAGCTACCGGTATCACGGAATTGTTTTGTTTCGGATTACAACTTCTGTGGTCTCTTGTAGGATGCTTTTGAAGTATAGAGATTTCCATGTATAGAGTCATTCTCTTTCATCTGACTGATACTCAGACATTTTGGCTGTATGTTTTCATTTAACTGAAAATTATAATTCCGCTCCCTACAGATGCCTTCTTTTTGGAAAAAGCCATGGAACTTGCTAAGCGACACGCTAATGCCCTTTTTGACTATGCAGTCACAGGAGATGTAAAGATGCTCCTGGCAGTACAGCGCCACCTTACAGCTGTTCAGGATGAAAATGGTGATAAGTAAGTATGTAATATCATAAAGCCAAATTTGTATAACATGATGGGGTGGCATTTTTGTACATGATGGGAAAACCCTAATTTCCCAAATTCTGTTTTTTTTCATTTTATTTTTTTTATTAGAAAAACAGTTTTCTCAAAGATGTTTACAGCTAGCCACAATGATATCCAAATAAAAAAAAGTGTTCTAATATCACAATGTCAATTCCGCCCTTTCATAGTTGTGTTACAGCCTATCATGCAAGTCTCAATCTATTCAATGACATTTACTTTCCGGCCAGTGTACACAGAATTTCATGTTAAAGGCAGAGAGTACGTGGTCCTCTGCAGAAGAGGAAAAGGAAGGTTGAGTGATAAAATATGCATCATAACATATACAGTACTGATGCTTGCTAAGTTATCCTCTGCAGCAGTCTGTGGTTCTCTCTCTCTCTGTTTAAGATGCCGTTCCATCTGTACTAGCCTGAAAGTAAATTTTATTAAATTCACTGATTTTTCTATTGTTTCTAGGTAAACCACTTTTGAAGTATCATTCTCACTATTTTATTTTTCCCCAAGTAATAGATGTCATATTCTATTCTTGAGATGACACAGAAAGGAAAATAATGGTTCCAAAATGAGGCAACATTCCAATGATTCATTGTAGGTGCTTCTCATTTAGAAAGAAAGAGGCAAAATTATTTGACTCATTTCTATATGTAACATTTCAAAACAGGATGAGAGGACTTTTTCCCCCTTCAGCTTTGATTCCTTTTGCTTTTTAGATCAGAGAGAACTCATCCCTCATTCCAATCTTTTTCCAGAATGCCTTAAGGCTTGAGGTTTTTGCAGTTACATCTCTTGCAGTTGATACAAATCAATTATTCTTCCAGAATGTACTGAAGAATTTCCATTTGGAAAAAAGATAATATTGGAAACACTCTATCTGGACATGACGGGAGTTGAAGTCTAATATATCTGGAAGATTATTTGATTGGAGGAGTCTACCTTTCCTCCTCTTCCAAACATCAGGCTTTGATATTTACCATTTCCTTCAAATAAATAATGAAGAACAAGAAGCTTCTCAACTCTGAAGCTGTAGAAATTGACAGGATCATATGTTACCAGCACTTCCCCAACACTTAAATCTGGGAGGAAGCCCATGAAGGTTTATGAATTAAAAGAATGATTTAAAAGTTGTTTAAAAGAAATGAAGCATTGTGAAAGATCTTTCATGGTGGCCAGTGGTAATAATGTTGTTGCAAAGAGTTAGCTCAAATCAATGTGATTTCTACATCTCTAGTACAAGAGATTTGCATACTCCATTAAACCAATTCCTTGCTTTGTGAAAATGTTGTGATCTTGATTTATGACCTCTTTTTAATATATGCTTCCTCTTCCTTCGATCTTGTGAAATCCTATTTTGATTACTCTACTGGAATTCTATTCATGCTATATCTTGCTACATTTTCTTAGGCAGTGTTCACAAGGTACAAATAATGCAGCCATCCTCTCCCCAGCGGTTGATTATCCTTTGAATATTGGCAATACTTAATATAAGATAGCTGGAAATGCCACATGATGTTTATTTTTTAATCCTCTGAACCCCAGCAATGAAGGATTGGAGGCTTGTCTCTTCCTTTCTCACTTCTTCAAAATATATCAATACCTGAGATACATTAACTTACATTACATTATTACCTTACCTTACATTACATTATTAATAGCAATGACACAATTGAGGTTAATGCCTCTATGGAAAAACTGGAGTCCTTCACATTGCTTTCTTCCCCCTTTTCACATACAGCCTAAGTGTGGCCATAAGAAAAGTGAAACCTAGGATGGGAGTTTGTGGGAGGCTTTGTTATCATGGGGTCTCTCTGGGATGTCATTTCAGGTTGAATATGTTATTTCCAGGAAGTGAAGGGAGACAATTGTCTGGAGCAACTTAGTTTAGCCTCAAACAAAACTGTTTTCCCCTCTCTCAAATGACCAAAATAAAGCTGCCATACAAACACGCTTAATTTATTCTTTAAAATCTATAGGTTGGCTTACAATGAATCTCACCACATGCAGTGTATGCTTCTCTGAGCCGAATGAGATAGGGCAACAGTTAGATGTATTTTCCTCATAGGAAAATATACTCTACTGGGGAATTCCCAGTCTCTGAAAGAAGACTATCCATACGCCATTGCTTCAAGGCATAGCTTGAAAAATAACTATGGGATCTGTACAGCAAGGGAAGCCAAATTAGACATAACAAGAACTTCACAGTTTGTTCTTCAGTACAGGACTTCTCTTTTACAAGTAGATTTTATTTTGAATTCAAGGATGGAGTATAAAACAATACAATTAAATTAAAATATTGGTTAGGGATAGGTGTAACAGATTTGGGTGTTGTTTTTTTTAACCGTACCAGATTTGACTTCCATTGTCATTGTAAGCTTTTTATCTTTGTGGCCGTGATGAGGTTGAACTCCAGCAACCTATGGTCACTAAGTGGGAATCATTGATCAGGCTACCAATTCTGTCTTTGGAACTAGATATATGCTTTAGACCTAACGAAGAAGAATGAATAGGTTCATAACCAGCACTTTCAGTTATGACTGGAAATAGACTGAGATCTTGGGTAGTGCTTCTAAGAAGTGAATTGTACATTCCTTGTAACCAATTTAATCTGGCCATAGACCAGTATAAACTTTCCAACATCAATGTCTATGGAGGTTCTTAATTATCCAGGTCAGAACTGAAGAAGCTTCTTGGATGAGAAGCAAAATGTTTTTAAGGAAAAAAAATCAAAAAAAGTCCAGTTGCCTTTTGGAAAAGTACTTTTGGGATTTCCACCATCAAGGGCTATATTTGAATTTGCAGAGACCTCTGATTGGCTGCTATTGGAAAAAAAATGCAGGAGAAAATGTTTTGATCCTCTGAGCCAACTTATAGTCCAGCATTTCATGCTGGAAATGAAAAAAAAAACCCAAACAATTCTTGACACACTGTCCAAAAATCACTTTTGCTCAGGACAGCCAAACTGGATGGGAGTTAAAGGAGAGCAGATTGGGTGTAGCTTTTTTTAAAATGTTGCTCCTTGTTCTTGCATTTTCCACCAAACCAATTATGTTAATGTCTTTGCCTTTCAGTTCCCTCTTTCTCCCTCAAAAAAAAATCTTAGTTTTTTTATTCAAAAAATAGTTTGGGAGATTTATTCATCATCCTTGATGCATTGTTTGATTACTTGTCTAAAAAAGTAAGTTTGAAAAGTGATTAAGCAATAGTGGATAAGTAGAAGGAGATGGACAGTTTTAAACTCAATTTTTAAATCAGTTAGAAGCACATCAGGGGATTTTTTATATAGGCAGTTGTGGGAACTTCAGATTGTTTCTCCCAACCTTCCTTTTTTGAATTATGAATGAATGGGAACCAAATGTACTTAAAGAAATAAGAAATTGTGGTCTCAATATAGTAAAACAAGGAGGTTGGATTTCCGTAATATGTTCCATCTTACATATTAAATGTGGTTTTGGGTTTTTTTCCTCATTACTTCTCTTTTTCTAGCTACATTTCTGAATATACATTAAAGACAAGAACATTAAAGATCTGCTCAATAGTAGGCAAATGTCTAAAAGAAAGTGTAATTTCCCTTTCAAGTTGGTGCAGTTCTCAGCCTTTCAGATCTTAAGTCCTACCCAATAGTTCATCAAAAAACCTAAATCATTTCATGAGAGATAGTTAAAAAAAATACTTTATCTCTGAAGTTTACAGGTTATATTTATATTAAATATACAAACCATACTTCTCCTTTATGGCAAATTGTAGTGGTTTACCTTGTGCTCACCTACAATATTTCTAACTGTGTTAACTGTGTTACCGTCAAATTAAAAAGCATTGATATAAAAATACTGGGGAGGCATGTGATGCCTCAGATTGATTATGGATAGTCCACTTCAACAGAATTTACTAAATATTTTGATTCTGTTGTACATGATGTTAGGCTTTAAAGATATTCAAGATTGCCCTTTGTTGCCTGCAGCAAATCTGTGACTACCTTTCTGGAAAATAAGGATAATAATTTCATTCTACCAATAATGAAGCTTTATTTGTCATTAAAACTCCTGACTTAGAAAAGGCACTCCAATTTTCATACAGAGCTCTAATAGTCTGCAAGCTTAAGTAAAGAAAATTATTTGCAATATATTTATTCTTCTGGTAATATTGCTGAAAACTCTTGTCTTTCCCTTTCTTTTCTTTAATCAATACCAGTGTCCTCCACTTGGCAATTATTCACCTTCACACGGAACTGGTGAAGAACCTTTTAGAAGTAATAGCAAATATGAATGCTGCTGATGTTCTCAATGTGAGAAATGATCTTTACCAGGTATGGAAACATTGGGAAGAAGGGAATACACAAACCAGTTCATTTTTGAACCTAAGTAGAACTATATCAGAGGATACAGTGAAATTTGCAAGATGACATATTGTCTGCAACTGAAACCCATGTGACCCATTCAGTATTACTTTTCTACTGTTCTTAAGCTACAGGTTTTCCTACACATCCATCATAATAATCAGTTAATTTCCATGTTTGTACTTTATATTTCATAGAGTTTTAAATGGGTATATTTGTGCAAAGTGAGCCAGTTTGAGGCAGTAGTTAAGGCCCCAGGTTAAAAACTGGGAATCTGAATTCCACTCTGCATTAGGCACAAAGCTAGCTTGGTGAGGTTTACGCCAGTCACTCTCTCATCTGTAGGAAAATGGGACATCACTTCCAAAAATGTTGTAAAAAATAATAATTGCAGGGACAATTCCAGGCAGTTGGCAGGAGTCAAAATGATTTCAAATGCACACACATAAGCACATATCCCAAAAACAGATTTGTGGAGGAAAAATTCTGATGGCCATTTTATTTCTCTCATTCCTTCTCATGCACCCTTTTTTTTTAAACAGACTCCTTTACACTTGGCTGTTATAACAAGGCAAGCGAGAATTGTGAAAGCCTTGCTTGGAGCTGGGGCCGACGTGAACCTCTTGGATCGCCATGGGAATTCTGTCTTCCATTTGGCAGCTCAGCAAGGAGATGAGGCGGTTTTAAGTATGTTGCTTCAGCACAAAGAGGCATCTGTGATGAGAGATCTTCCTAATGGGGACGGTAAGCAAGTATCAGTAATATCTTTCTAATGGATCAATAGTGCTGTCCTATTATTTTCTCAAGAGCTATTCATTATTTCATTACAATTTAGATTTCCAAGGAAGCTCTGTATTTTAATGCTTACATTTTGAAACAAAACACATTATTCTACCACCTCCTTCATCAACAGCTATACAGGGTTCTTTAACTGTACAACCATAGAGAAGACTGAACAAAACTGAGCCTAACCTATAAGAAGACAATGATAAGGAGGATGTCATATCAGTGTACCATCTCTTCTCTTGTCTGTCCCTGTTATTTTTTGTTATTTTCTTGATGGAAACCTTCCAAAAGATGTCCTTTCTGTTTTCATTGCTTCTATCCTACAGTGCTGCCCATCTGAAATTTGGTATTTCGGGGTTCATTTTGACCAATTCTGCCATAGATGTTTAGGAATCTGTCCTGAAATATATCAGGACCTCTTTTTCCATAGCCCCTGTGTTTTGTTCTTAAGTAACTTCAAGATTTTGGAAAATGGAAACATGGTGGTCACTTTTGAAAAATTCAATTTCAGGAAAAATTGTCTTGAGAAAAAGGGCAACTCTCCCTGTCCATGGTTTTTTTTTTCCAGATACAAGTACTATTTGCCTGATTGTGTCTTATTATGGTTGATTGCGTGGCCAGGGAGATGTTTAGATAGGATGTGGCATTTTTATCCACCTTGTGAATCCTTCCCAGGGACCTGGGATAGAGAGATGTTGTTAAAAGTATTGTTGTAGGATGTGAGTTGTTCTAAACTGTTGTTGTTATTATTATTATTATTACTTGCACAACAGTATGAAATTACAACTGCCAGTACTTTAGGTAGTGTTGGCATTCATACAGATTGAATTCTTCCCAAAAATCTAGGATATTGCAATATTACGTATATCTGCGGATTCCAGCAATGTTGGTACATAGAAATTCTGTCAATGCACAGATTTTCTAAGTGCTGTCCAAGATTTTTTTTGTATGGCACCCAGTGTGGCGATAACCACTGGAACTACCACAGCTAGTTTATGCCACAAGATTTTCAGATCTTGATATTTTCTGGTCTCCAATTCTTTGTGTTCTGTTCTACTTCCCCTGGTATTGCCATGTCAATTATCCACATTTCTTCTTCCTTTCTTTCTTTCTTTCTTTCTTTCTTTCTTTCTTTCTTTCTTTCTTTCTTTCTTTCTTTCTTTCTTCCTTTCTTTTTCTTTCTTTCTTTCTTTCTTTCTTCTTTCTTTCTCTCTCTCTCTCTCTCTCTCTCTCTCTCTCTCTCTCTCTCTCTCTCTCTCTCTTTCTTTCTTTCTTTCTTATTGATGTTGTTGTTATTATTGTTATTCAGGCCTGACAGTCCTTCACTTAGCTGTTACTGCAAACAGTATGCCGTGTCTCAGACAACTCCTTGCTGTTGGTATTGATGTCAATATCCAGGAACAGAAATCTGGAAGGACAGCTTTGCACTTGGCTGTTGAACAAGGAAATATTTCCATGGCAGGTTGCCTTCTACTTGAGGTGAGCATTATGGGGGCAAAATCTCTCTATCTCTTCTTTCTCTTTTGAAAGAAGCAGCCGTTCCTCTCTGTATAATCCTCCCACCTTTATAAACTTGGGAAGAGTGTAGTGATGTATCACATCTTACAATAATGGTACATAAATATTTCCTTCAAACACAGGCAATCCTTGCTTTTGTTCTTAACTAATAGAAAAACAAGGAGCATCCCCTTTATGATTATTTCGAAATTCATATTGCATCTGATATCATTATTGTGTTCCCCCCATCTGGATCCAGGCATTCTGGTTATCTGTGAGAGCATTGTAGAAAGTAATAATATTGATGCTTATATATTTATGTGTTTATGCATGTGTGTGCAACACGAGAGGGAGGGAGGGAGAGAGAGAGAGAGAGAGCGCCATTTTGGAAGAACATCACACCTCACAAGTTTCAGTACACTGGTGGCGCAGTGGTTAGAATGCAGTATTGCAGGCTAATTTTGCTGACTGCCAGCAGTTCGAGTGTGACCGGCTCAAGGTTGACTCAGCCTTCCATCCTTCTGAGGTCAGTAAAATGAGGACCCAGATTGTTGGGGGCAATATGCTGACTCTGTGAACCCCTTAGAGACTGCTGAAGTGCTATATAAGTCTAAGTGCTAGTGCTATTGATAAATCTGAGACATGGTATTCATACCTGAAATCTCACAAGAGTTTAATCAGAAACAAAAAGTCTTGTGAGATTTGATGACTGGGACATTTTGATTATTTTAATCTTACTTTAAAGTGCATGTATTCTAGAAAGGCTATACTATAGTTGTGATCCTAGGCCAATTTACTATATTTTCTGCAGCTTTTGCTTTCAAGCTGGTCACGAGCCAAAACAACATTTTTTTTTTTTGCTTAAAAAACCAGGGAGATGCATTTGTGGACAGCGTTACTTATGATGGAACCACTCCACTTCATATAGCAGCTGGAAGGGGATCTACAAAATTGGCAGCTCTTCTCAAAGCAGCAGGTAAGGAAGTAAGTTTATAATGACTGTATCATGATTCACTCCTAAAGTTCTAGCTGAAAAAAATTATACAACTTGAAATTATAGTCCCCCCCCCAAAAAAAATGCACTGCTTTTCTAATACACATGCAATCTTATGCTCTACATTATTTAATGCAACAGTGGCAGAATTTTTATCATGTAATATTAAACACTTCACATTTTAAAATGTTTCTCCCTTTCCCCTCTTAATCACTTTTTCATTATCCCCCTCCTCTCCATTATCTGCTCCGCATCCTTTCTTCAGCTGCATTATCACCTCTTCTTACTCATTTTCTTCTGTGGTTTTAGTCATTCTCTTATTGAAAATCTCAATCCAGAGTTAACTATGTCATTAGGCAGATTGGGATAATTTCCCTGACCATCAGAGGTTAACAAGGTATTGGAGAGAAAGACTTGTGTGATCCTGCCCAATTCCTTGTTCAGTAGCCCACCACCCTCAAATAATTTAATGGCTCAGCTTCCCCTACTGACTCAGGATGTCAAATTTTGCCAAATTTCCTTTTTAAAAAACTATATGCATTGTTTTAATATATAGTGTTAAGTGTTTAAAGACAGAGATCTTTTCCCCAATACTAAGTCAAAGTGCTATCCACCATCCTTAAGCAGGCACAAAACTCCAGCATAAAATTTGCTGTTTCCATTGCCAATATTTATCCTTCCTCTGTTTCATTTATTTCCACTCACTACCAAATGGTGCTGCCCTTATTTAACAGTATGTCATATATTCTTATGGGGAAATTGTGGCTTTTCCTTTGCCTGTTCTGTTGTCCTCTTTTACACATGACAACCCAATGAATCAAGGCAATGCAGCATGAATTGGGTTGTGTCTCACTTTGGAAGCCTGTATATTGTTCTCCAAGCTGATTAGTCTTCCCCTCTTAGCATACCTCATTTGGGCATCTCCCAAGTTAAAACAATGTGAAATGAATAAGAATAATTTTGACACTAGAGGAGAAATAGCCCCAAAGAGGAAGAAGGAATCACCTGTATTCACTGTGCAACTAAATAGATACTAAACTGATAGCTGTTGGGAAATGTTTGAAACTGACAAGTATGGAAAACTGCAGAAAAGCTCAATTCAACACCCCTCATATTCTGGACACCCCAGCGAAGAAAGGCAATTTTTCTAAAGATTAAAGATACATTTCAAAATACTATTAAGGGAACATAGATCAAGAATACCTCTTTTCGTTCTCCAAATAAAGTATTGGAGGTCTGGACATTTTTAGAGTACCATTAAACAGGACTAGCATTAATACAATCTTCCCCATATAAAATAATGGAGTTGTGTTCTTCTCCTCTCGGTCTTCTTGTAGGTTTGAGAGATGTGGATGAAAATTAGGAAGGGGGTGGGATGAAAGTGCTAATGGAGCATGCACCCACTCTGAAGTGACTGCAACAAACCAGGGTTAGGGATAAGAGGAGAGGAGTGTGTATGATCCTCCCAACAGTCTCAAAATACATCTCAACAGAGCTTGCCTGCAATATTATAATTATACCTTGAAGTTGCAAGAGAGAAAATACTTCTTTAAAACTCGTACACCTCACATAACACTGTTTCATTCATGAGCTCAGGATGATAAGTCAAAGGCAAATTTGTGCCAGGGGAACCTGGTATGGATAAGGCTTTTTATGCTGCGTTAAACTGCAAGTGGAAAGTAGGGCCGGAGAGATTCCTAAATAAAACCTGAAGTAAAATGGAGAAAAATAGAGGAAGTCAGAACAAAAGGAGACTCTTTTTCCCAAATATTCAAATATTCTTTTCTTTGGGGAGGTAAAACATTGTTATCAACATTATTTTAATGTTGTAGACGCGTGGTGGCGAACCTATGGCACGTGTGCCACAGGTGGCATGCAGAGCCCTCTCTGTGGGCACGTGTGCCATCGCCCCAGTCCTAGGTCTTCAGCTGGGTTTTATAAAACCTTTTCACTTTAGGTCTCCGCCGCCGTGTGCAAAAAAAAAAGAAGAAGGTTCAGTCAATCAATCAATTTCAACTTCTCATGGAAAAAAAAAAGATCAAAGTTGGAATTGATTGATTGAACTTTTTAGTCCCACCCAGTCTGCCGTTACCACCACAGCCACGCCAACCCAATGGGCCACACCCACCCGGCACCCGACGATACATAAGTGGGTTTTGGGTTGCAGTTTGGGCACTCAGTCTCTAAAAAGTTCGCCATCACTATTGTAGACCATGTTGGACATTTAGATGAATTCATACTTGTTCTCCAGTAGAATCTCTCATGCCTTCAGCATGATCATTCCAAGTACTGTTGTTTGGCACTAGGACTAACACTTAAAAGACATAATTAACAAAAAGCGCCATTTAAAAAGAAATCAATCAATTCTGTTTCAGATTTGGACATGAGGATGCACCTAAGATTGTGAAAAAATAACTGTTGAGTTCTTTTTTTCCTTCATGTGGAATCACTCCAATTATTTTTGGAAGCTTGCTAATATACACTAGATAACAGATAATTCTGCCAATTTACTACATTTGTTTAAAAATTGGGAAATTGGGATGAAATTAAGCAATGTCAATGATACCTAATTGCCTTGAACATTTAATTACCTACATATTAAACTGAACTATTATAATAAAAATGCTAAAGTAATTTATGGTGTCTCATCCATACTCTTTATTTACTAATATAGGTGCAGATCCCCACATTGAAAACTTTGAGCCGTTATTTGAAGAGGAAGATGTGAAAGATAATGAAGGTGAAAAAATTATACCTGGGACAACGCCTCTGGATATGGCAACCAGTTGGCAGGCAAGTGATCACTGACACCTTGTTTCAAAAGACAACCTTTTTTGTTTGTTTCTTCTTTGGTTCATTTTAATCACATATTTTCTCTTTTGAAAAAATTGACAGTCTGTGGTTTTCTAATACGGCCAGTGCTCAAGGATGTGGAGAGTTATAGTTCAGCAATATCTGAATTGCATTTCTCAATGTGCAGTATAGTGAAGGGTGAAAAAGAATCTCTTATAGGTGACTCTGATTCTATTTTTACAATGATAACAGTCAGTGCTAACACCTTAAGATGTTATGTAGTTTTGAAAATTAACATATACAAACTTAAGGTTTTTTTAAAAAAATAAAAAATATTTAAAATTGTGGTTTAATTACAAGAGATATTAGCAATGTTTGTATAACTAAGAGTAGGAGGTTTGATGGGGGCAGATCTAGCCTCACACATTAGACACAACTGGGTGACTTTGGGCCATTCACGCTCTCTCAGCCCTAGTAAGCAAGCAACGGCAAACCACTTCTGAAATCTTGCCAATAAAAATGTAGGGATTATTCCAGGTTGTCCTGGACTTATGACTACAACTGAGCCCAAAATTTCCATTGCTAAGCAAGGCAATTGTTAAGTGAGCTGCGCCTCATTTTACACACTTTTTTGCTATAGTTGTTAAACTGCAGTTATTAAGTGAATCATACAATTGTTAAACCAATCGGGCTTCCCCCATTGACTTTGCTGGAAGCCAGCTTGGAAAGTTGTAAATCACATGACCCCAGGATGAGGCAACCATCGTAAATACATGCCAATTGCCAGTTGTCCAAATTTTGATCATATGGCCATGAGGATGCTGCAGTGGTCGTAAGTGTGAAAATAGGTCATAAGTCACAATCACTAAACAAATGGTTGTTAAGTCAAATGGTTGTANGGGCCGCAGCGGGGCGTTCGGGAGGCCACGGCGGCGGCGGCAGCGCGGAAGGGAGGCAGCATTCGCTCCATAAGACGCACAGACATTTTCCCCCATCTTTTGGGGGTGAAAAAGTGCGTCTTATAGAGCGAAAAATACGGTAATTAACAAAAAGCGCCATTTAAAAAGAAATCAATCAATTCTGTTTCAGATTTGGACATGCACCTAAGATTGTGAAAAAATAACTGTTGAGTTCTTTTTTTCCTTCATGTGGAATCACTCCAATTATTTTTGGAAGCTTGCTAATATACACTAGATAACAGATAACTCTGCCAATTTACTACATTTGTTTAAAAATTGGGAAATTGGGATGAAATTAAGCAATGCCAATGATACCTAATTGCCTTGAACATTTAATTACCTACATATTAAACTGAACTATTATAATAAAAATGCTAAAGTAATTTATGGTGTCTCATCCATATTCTTTATTTACTAATATAGGTGCAGATCCCCACATTGAAAACTTTGAGCCGTTATTTGAAGAGGAAGATGCGAAAGATAATGAAGGTGAAAAAATTATACCTGGGACAACGCCTCTGGATATGGCAACCAGCTGGCAGGCAAGTGATCACTGACACCTTGTTTCAAAAGACAACCTTTTTTGTTTGTTTCTTCTTTGGTTCATTTTAATCACATATTTTCTCTTTTGAAAAAATTGACAGTCTGTGGTTTTCTAATACGGCCAGTGCTCAAGGATGTGGAGAGTTATAGTTCAGCAATATCTGAATCGCATTTCTCAATGTGCAATATAGTGAAGGGTGAAAAAGAACCTCTTATAAGTGACTCTGATTCTATTTTTACAATGATAACAGTCAGTGCTAACACCTTAAGATGTTATGTAGTTTTGAAAATTAATATGTACAAACTTAAGGTTTTTTTAAAAAAAATAAAAAATATTTAAAATTGTGGTTTAATTACAAGAGATATTAGCAATGTTTGTATAACTAAGAGTAGGAGGTTTGATGGGGGCAGATCTAGCCTCACACATTAGACACAACTGGGTGACTTTGGGCCATTCACGCTCTCTCAGCCCTAGTAAGCAAGCAACGGCAAACCACTTCTGAAATCTTGCCAATAAAAATGTAGTGATTATTCCAGGTTGTCCTGGACTTATGACTACAACTGAGCCCAAAATTTCCATTGCTAAGCAAGGCAATTGTTAAGTGAGCTGCGCCTCATTTTACACACTTTTTTGCTATAGTTGTTAAACTGCAGTTATTAAGTGAATCATACAATTGTTAAACCAATCGGGCTTCCCCATAACTGAAACGACCTTCGGTCGAACCTTTCAACATTTAGTGTACTGGGGTCCTACTCCGTTGGTAGCATTTATGTACGGTTAACGGTCAACAGGTTTAAAACTAGTATACCGGTACTCCTACGACGTCACCAGCATTCACACTTTTATCCAGTATTCAGTGTTAGTGATTTGTTTACCAACAATTCAGTTTACCAACATTTTACCAGTGACTTGAAGGGGCGAAGAATTTTTTTGTAGAATTTAAATCCACATACTGTTTTTGAAAAGTGGTTGTGACTTGGATATTTCAAAGTGGATTAACTGTATCAAATGAAAGGTGAAATACGTATTTTGTTAACAACAATATTTTAATGTTAAACCACAGCTTAGCATTACAGGAGGGGACGTGGCCTCCCGTTTTTCTTTTCTCTTGTAACCATAATGAAGAATTCAGAAGTAAAAGCTTATGCTTTAAAGCAATCACATTTTTCTTAGCTTGAAAAGACAAGTTTTAATTAAACTATAATTAATAAGCAAAATGCTTCTGTGAGTCTTGTTCTTAAGAAGAAGTAGTTTAAATCATTAGGGTTGTTTTTCACTATTAGTTAAAATCACTTTTGATTCAAAAATGGAGAAAGTTTCTTTACGTTCTCTCAGCAGTTCTACTAGTGAAGGAGAGAACCTAACAACTTGATCTCACCTTGACACAGCAAGCTGTGATTTGGCACTGTGTCTAAACTTGGCAACTGAGCAATATAATGTTTAGGAAAAATGCGCAGGATAAAATCAATACTTTCTCATCTATCACTCATTTTTTCCCTCTTGACAGGTGTATGATATTTTGAGTAACAAACTCTGTAAGTCAAAGGCAGCTTCTGAGGATCTACTGATTCGAGGTGAGAGTATATTTAAGCAAGAAAATAAATACTTTGATACTTATATGGTCTTTCTTTCTGTAGTAGGTATTATTTTGCAGGGAGCCATCCTATATAGGAAATCAGTGGGGATTTAATTTTTTTTAATTCTAATTAAAAATACCAATGTGACCTGTTTTGATACATATTGGAGTATGTATGGTTTCAATCTTCCAATTGTAGTCAGTAGTGAATTTCATGCTACTTTAAAATACTGTATGCCAGTGATGGCGAACTTTTAGAGACCGAGTGCCCAAACTGCAACCCAAAACCCACTTATTTATTGCCAGGTGCCAGGTGGGGTTGGCCCATTGGGTGGGCGTGGCTGTGGTGGTCATGGCAGACTGGGTGGGTGTGGCCAAGGTGGGTGTGGTCACCTTGATGTTGCTCATGGGGAAGGACGCCTGTGGGGGCTGGGCAGGGTTGGGGGTGATCCAGGGGGTCTCTGGCAGGTGGGACAGTGGGCAGGAGGCTCGTCCTGCGAGGCAAGGCTTGGCAGGGAGGGGGTGCCATTGTCGCAGGGCAAAGCAAGGCAGGGGCCAGGGAGTTCAGAGAAGCCGCCTCTGAGCTGGATGGACAGCCGACAGCTGAGGAGGCAATGCAGTGGGTCGTGTCCGGGAAAAGGAGAGCATGCGAGGCCAGGAGGGATGGGACAGGAGGAAGGAAACCAGCCATGCTGGGATGCATCCGGCCACATGGGACCTCAGTGAGTTAGCAGGTGGCTGGTTGAAGAGGAACGGTTGCCATCTCCGGGGCATGGCGCGCGTGCCCAAAGAGAGGGCTCTGAATGCCGCCTCTGGCACGCGTGCCATAGGTTCACCACCACTGCTGTATGCTGTTCCTTGGAAATTTGAAGGACGTTAACATAGTTTAATGTAAGTTTATGGAATCCATAATTATGACACTCTAGTGGATTTTTAAAAATCTTTTCTAGGCAATATGAAAGACCTGAATGAGGATGTTAAATTACAGCTGTACAAATTGCTTGAAGTTCCTGATCTGAATAAAAGCTGGTCCATGTTGGCACAGAAGCTAGGTCTAGGGATATTAAACAATACCTTTCGGTTGAGTCCTTCTCCATCAAAAACTCTACTGGATAATTATGAGGTAATTCTCTTAACTGCCTTACTATGGTGAAAACCTTCTTTGACAAGATGGTGTCTAAACAATCTCATACTTTTAACTTTCATGTTGTTACGTGTAGAACTTCTCACCACATACTGAGGAATTCCTTGTATTCTGCCATGCCTAATTTTTAGGAAGTCCTGTCTTTCACAATACAGGCAATCTTCAGGTTACAATGGTAATTGGGCCCAGAATTATCATTGCTAAGTAATGTGATTGTAAAATGCAATATCACATGACCACATCACTTAGGGATGGCAAATGCAGTAGTCCTGGTTGCCATTAAATAAAGACCGTGCAGGTTGAAGACCGCATGAGTCATTAAGCGAGGGCTTTATATGACTGCAACTTTGATCTTGCTGATGGCTTCCCCATTGATTTTGCTTATGGGAACCCAGCAGGCTATGTAAGAAATTGTGATCATGTGATCACGGAGACAGTGTAAATCCCCTCATTCAGCATCATTGCAAGACTGAATGGCCACTGAATGAGTGGTCATAACCTGAGGACTGCCTGTATAACTTACTGCAATCTCCATTGCTTACATTCTTTGTGCAATATTTTTTGAAAGGTTGAACAAATCTCTCTCTAGAGGCTTGGATGAGAATTCTGCTTCCTGCTGTGTGTACCTAAATCTGTACCTAACCTCCCATTAAGATAATGTAATCATAGATTCCATACCAATTATTGAATTTTTAAAGTATTTTTATTAGTATAATAAAATACAATGGAAAGAAAGATCCACATTGGTAGTAATATAAAAAGAATAACCCAGTAATAATGAAACATAAATAAAAGCATTAAGAGAAAACTTTCTAGTGATATTCTCCCTTCCCCTTCTGTTTATTTCCCCAACTGCTGCCATAACCTAAATACATACTGTATGCTTTATATTTACTACTAGCTGTACCTGGCCACGCGTTGCTGTGGCTCAGTCTGGTAAAAGCATGTGTTGCTTTTACGTCCAACAGATGGTGCTGTTTTTCAAAAAAAGCATGTTTTACCTGTCACAAGTGTTACATTTATATAATATAGGTATATAAAAACACGGCGCGTATTCAAATGCAACGTTGTGTCAAAATTTCAAAGCAATCGGTGAAGAACTTTCGGAGATTTAAGATTTTGAACAAACGAACATTTACATTTTTATTTATATAGAATAGATTAAAGTTACTAGACTCTATTTGAATCCTTCACCTATTATTTATTAGTCACATACCTTTATTGTAAAGCTACATTCCAAGGGTTTCCATTTGCCCTGTTTTATAGTAAATATACTATAGTATAGTAAGTAGTGTATATTCCATTCCTACTTAAATTTGGTTAGATTTCTATTATGAATATACAGTATATAGTCAATTTTGTCATCACTGCATATTCTCCAGTTTTGGTCTCCCAGTCTGATGTCGGCAAGCTTTTTTTTCCCAATGTGCAAATTTGTTCTTGCAGCTGTCAACATACAATATAGCTTAGAACATTTCAAATTTTTCATTTTTTTCTGGAATTACACATAATAAAATTCTTTGATTTCAATTCAAGTTTTATTTTTAGGATTTTCTGAGTATTTTGATATATTTCTTTCTAGTACTTTTGAAGGTTTGTTTGTTTTACATAACCATCTCATATAACATGTTTCTTCTTTGTTATGGTACTTCCAGCATTTACTGCTATTTGATTTATCTATCTTGGTAATTACTGAGATGTACATAATCTGCAAATTATTTTATACCAATTTTATTTTGCCGTTTGGAATGTATTGATTGATTTTTCTATTGCTTTTCCCATTATTGTATTGTAATTATTTTGTTGAGGTTTTGCACCTATATGAACTTTAGGAGATAGTCAGCTCTTTCTATGATTGATTTTCACTATTTGGTGATTTTATCCACAGACTATAATTAAAATATAAAATGAAATGTTTTCCTTCCATTCTGAATGTAGCATTTAAAACATTTTATTTTACTATGTAAATGCATATTTGCAATGGAGAAAAGGGGAGAATTACATGGTTTTCTTAAATGGTAATAAGATTGCAGGATTTAAAAAACACTATACTGCATATTCACTCAACTGCCTCTTAATATCATTTTTTGGAGTGGCAGAGTATAGTTTTAAAATATACAAATTAATGCAGTGCTAGGCTGCATTAACAGAGAGATAGAATCAAGATCACGTGAAGTGTTAATACCACTTTACAATGCCTTGGTAAGGCCACACTTGGAATACTGCATCCAGTTTTGGTCACCGCGATGTAAAAAAGATGTTGAGACTCTAGAAAGAGTACAGAGAAGAGCAACAAAGATGATTAGGGGACTGGAGGCTAAAGCATATAAGGAACAGTTGCTGGAATTGGGTATGTCTAGTTTAACGAAGAGAAGGACGAGGGGGGACATGATAGCAGTATTCCAATATCTCAGGGGCTGCCACAAAGAAGAGGGACAAGAAGCAACCGGGTGGAAACTAATCAAGGAGAGAAGCAATCTAGAACTAAGGAGAAACTTCCTGACAGTTAGAACAATTAACCAGTGGAACAACCTGCCTCCAGAAGCGGTGAATGCTCCAACACTGGAGGTTTTTAAGAAGAGACTGGACAGCCATTTGTCCGAAATGGTATAGGGTTTCCTGCCTGAGCAGGAGGTTGGACTAGATGACCTCCAAGGTCCCTTCCAACTTTATTATTATTATTATTACTACTACTACTACTACTACTACTACTACTATTATTATTATTATTATTATTATTATTATTATTAATCTCCCACTAGGTATTATTGTATTTCTGTAGAGTTTCAGAGGGGGGGGAAACCTTCCAAAGTACCTCAACTTTGTTTCCCTCTTGGTAGGTTTCTGGTGGAACAGTAAGAGAATTGATTGATGCCCTCAGAGAAATGGATTATCCAGAGGCTGTTGAATTAATTGAGAAAAGAACTACTTCGTCTAGCCAGGAAAAAACCAAAGATGATGTTCTTCCGTTTTGTGATTTACCTTCTCCTGGGACAGAACAAGCAGGTAAAATACATGTCAATTCAGACCTGTTGACCAGTAGACCTTGGGAACTTCATTGTCCAAAGTGCAAAGATCTGTGGACTTCAACTCCCAGAGTTCCCCGGTTATCAGGGTTACACCCCCAAAAGAAATATTAAATTTACAACCCTTGCTTGTTTTGCCATGGATATCCATTCATTTTCAATAAATCTACTAATGCTGTCAGTCTAGCTAAGCATAAGCATGTTTGGTTTTGATTAGTTCCTGGATAGAAACTAATGCTGTGAGTTTTTATGGAGAACATAGGATATAAAATTATTTAGGTTTGCTAAATAACCCTTAACTGCTTCTTTTTTCTTTCTATATTCTTAATTACTGGGAAGTAAGCCCAGTATTTAATATTTATTTGTTATGTATATGTAGAGGCGCGGGTCTATACATATGTTGTATATAGTATATTTTAGGGTGTGTCATGTATGTGTTTCACTTTGAGAGCGGGCAATTAAATTTCATTTTTGATGTGTGCCGTTGTGCCCACAGTAAAAAAAAATGACAATAAAGGTTATCTTATCTTATCATCTTATCTTATCTTAAAACTAAGGAGGATTTGCTTTTGAATAATCTTCATTATGGCTGCCCAGTTAATGTAGAGGTTATGTGTTTGTATGTATCATTTATTGGGCTCTTACCAGCTTTTCTGTTGCATCCATTAAGAAGGAGTGGCATTTAAAATGCAATACAAGCAATTAAAATTCCTGAAGATGGAGGTAGTGAATTAAGATTGAGCCAGAGGGTGGTAAAACTTTAGCAAACATTTGACAGCTTCAGTTCCATTGAAACTGGGGCAGCCTTCAATACTTGAAACCCAGTTTGCAAGAGGACAACCATTGGCATGAAAGCAGTTCTAGGAGAATCTTCAGAGAATATCCCACCTCTTATACCATAAAGCTGGTTCAATTTTTCCATCATGTCCTGCATTGTTTATATTAACTTTAGGGCATTGGTTATGCCAAAACATTATTTTATATTTATTTATCATGTTTTTGAACCATCAATTTACCTTCCAGAGGGATTAAACTATGTTACTAAACTACGGAATTACTGCAAATAATTAGAAGGCAATATATTGAAAATTCCTGTCCAGACTGAAACTTGACTCTGGATTAGGAAAAGCAGAGGAGTCTCTATTCTCTTCTATGAAAACAATTGGGCATACTGTGTAAGTCTGTAAAGTGTTGTGTGTCATTGCATTTTTCAAACTTTTTTCTTTCTTTCACCAGATGAAATGTGTAATTTCAAATTCCAGGATGCTGAAAGCATTTGTGACAGTGGCGTAGAGATCTCTCTTCACAAACTTAGCTTTACATATTCTGATTCTTTTACCAACAAGACATCAATAAATCTTAAGAAAAAGGCTTCAGGCTATGGACAGGACACCTCATTACAAGGTAAAATTGAAGTAACTTAAATATGGTATGGCTATGAAGATTCTTTCCAGAGAAAAGAGAACTGTTAATGATCCAAAGTTCACCAGAAGAAAAAGCTCTTTGAAATGTTTATCCACTGGACTTTTCAACAAACTCAGACTAGATCCCAGTAAACTGGAAGACTCAGGAAAAGGATTGACTGGCACTTATTTTTTCCCAGAAGGATCATTGGTAAAGAAAATGAACCATTCTCTTCAGTCTCAGTGAAAGTTATGTAACAGACTCTAATTGTGGTCCAAAGCTGTGAAGCACAAAATCACAAAATAATAATCAGGATTCTTAATTGCAAAATATAATGTAAATGTATTTAAAACTTCATCTGGTGTCTATAAAATAATGCAAGCTTCCAAGGGCTTGCCATTGTTTTACCTTTTTATATTGTAAATATTTCAGTTTAGATAAATTGCCACTAAGAATTTTTTTTAAAGGCTTGTTTTTTTAATTTTACTTTTATAATAAAAAGCAAAATTGTGATGAATTTGGCATTATTTATATCCTACCTATGGCTAGAAAACGTCTCCTAATCATTTGATAACAAGTATGTGGAGCAAGTCTAAAAATAGAAATATATAAATTGATTCCTATTACTATTTCTGAGGTAGACAAATGCATCATTTCTGAGTGACAGGAAAACCAGAGAAAGAAATTAAAACATTTTTACAAATTCAAATATCTCCGAGAGTGAAAAACTACAAGTAGTCCTCAACTTACAACATTTCATTTAATGACTGTTCAAAGTTATAACAGACCGTATTTCACATCTCTGTGGTCACATGATCAAAATTCAGTTGCTTGGCAACTGACTCACATTTATGACGGTTGCAGTGTCCCAGAGTCATGTGATCACCTTTTCCAATCTTCTGACAAGCAAAGTCAATGGGGAAGCCAGATTCACTTAACAACCGCGTTACTAATGTAACAACTTGATTCACTTAACAATTGTGGCAAGAATGGTCCTAAAATGGGGCAAAATTCACTTAACAAATGTCTCACTTAGCAAAAAGGAACACTATTGCTAGAAGTGCTCACGTTGTTATCCCTTATCTGCCCTCTTTAATAGTAGACATAGAAGGTCCATTCTATTAATCAACAGACTGTTCAAACTTCCTGTGTTTACCAGCAATATTATCCTTATACATCAGCGGTCCCCAAACTTTCTAGCTCCGCGGACCGGCAGCAGCCGTGATGGGGGGGTGAGAGATGGTTTCACGCGTGTGCCTGCAGCTTGCACAAATGTAGCTTTGCGAGCTCAGGTGCTTGCCTGCCGCTTCAGTGGCCCGATTCCTGGAAGTTGGAGACCCCTGTTATCCACCATAAGATTTATCTGCGACAAGAGCAGTGTTATAATTACATGAGAAGGATGCCCATCTATGATGCCCCAACACAAGAAGCAGGAGAGAAGCTCCCTCTGGTCAATCCTGTAATAGGACAAGTGCCTAAAGATCCATACAGATCTCTGGTCTTTTGCAATATTTTTTCATTGGAGATGCAGACTCTGGTTCTGGAATTCAGAAAAATGATGCCAGAGGGATGCAGAGTATTACATATTTTACTGTTCATAGACATTTCTCAGGATGTGTGCTTGTCTGACTTATTTAAAGTGCTCTCATTCTAAAGAGATTCAGAACTGCACTTGGCTTCCCTCCACTTAACTGAGTAATACCATATGTGTAGGAAGCTGGCATGAGAATAATGTCCAATCGTTCCATTTTATCCATTTTATTTTAGAGCTGCATTCCTACACACGTTCCCCATTTCCAGTAGCTTTTGTCTCCATTCTTGCTGAGTTTTTCTCAGGAAATGTCTGTCAGCGATATTAAGCTGAATGACTTCTCCAACTCCTTGACGCTAGTAGCTTCCCAAGGGTAAAAGAATATGAGTTTTTGCTCCTCTGTGAGAAGAAATCCATTGTCACTGAATCTTCCTGGGATGTTCCCAACATCTAACCAAACAAAAGGAGCGATGGCTGCGGCTTCCAGGGCAAATTGAAAATGATCTCCTTCTTGAGAAATAGAAGCCTGAAAGGGGCAGACAAATTTAGGTTACTGTATTGTTTCATTGTTTCTTTACACATTTGGAATTCTAGAAAATTTGTACTATACACTGTCTCTTTAATACTGTGCTATCTTCAAAACAGATTACTGTAGTTTGCAAAAAAAAAATGTCACACAAACGGTATAAAAAACATCCTAATTATAAAATTCCATTTACAATAAAGAGTGCTATAGAATTTATCAATCCAAATTCCCCACCATCATCACAAAAATTCCTGGAATTGTAGCTCCTAATTGGTGAAAATACAGGAAACTATATCCCACCAATACCAAAATACATAATTCTCCAGATTTCCTAGTTAAAAAGATGAACCTAGATATAGTCTTAATTTACTCTACTAATGGCAATGTTGTTTAGATGCTCGAGATAAACATTTTATCCAGTCCTGTACAACCTGTTTACGTTGGTAAACACAGCTCTAACTTATGAAACTTATACATGCAAAGCACTGGTCTCCCAGTAAAATATGATTTAATGACCAGGTTCCAGTGTGTTTGATTTAGTCTACTTCTCCCCATCAAGTATACAGCATTAATTATTGGACCACAAAAATAATGGGAAAATATTGGTGGCAGAAGCGCTATATACATGATTAATGATTGTGTTACTTCTCTCATCCAAACCCAGATAATTTCCTAACAAGCAGTTTTGCACTTATATTTATGTTTAACACAGTAATACAGTTCAGAAATTGATCATATCTTACAACTGAATTCTAAGCCACCCAGAGTCATTGACTGAGATAGGCAATTATAGAAATTGAGTAAATAAACAATATAAAATAAACATCATTTAAAAAACAACATTTTGCTTGAAAGATATAAAATCTCTTCCAGGGAGGAAAAAATCCAAAACTAGGTAAAATACGTTTGTATGCGTTTTGTTGTGTAATCTATTTTCAGAAACAAATTCTAAATTGACACGGGTTTCTATAAATTATGCAAATTAGGTGACTTGGCATCTTGTAATTAATTCCAAACCAAGAGAAGAAAACGAAGCTATGCAGGTCAGTAAAGTCACACCCATCATCCCCACCTCTATCTTGTGAAAGCATATCTTCACAAAGGTCAGAAAGATGCCAGAAAAGGAAAAAGGAACTTTAGGAGACTGCTCTATATGCCCACCATCAAAGTTTGTTCGTATTTTCAGGAACAAAACCAAGTAGGTTACTTCCTCTAGCTCAGTGGTTCTCAACCTTTTTAATGCCGCAACTCCCAACCGGTTGTAAGTCGAGGACTAAACCGGTCGTAAGTCGAGGACTAAACCGGCCGTAAGTCGAGGACTAAACCAGTCATAAGTCGAGGACTACCCAACCGGTCCTAAGTCAAGGACTTTCCCTGCCCGGGAGCGCCGCGCATGCGTGGTTCCGCCCCCTGCGCCGGCCGAGGCGTAGCTGGCAAGCGGCAGAGACGGAGCAGGCTGACCACCAGCTGGCCCAGTCCAAGGGAGGTAAGGCACCCGCCGGAAAAGGGGAAAAAATGGTGGACAACCTTGCTTGGCGACCCCCGTGAAATGGTCGATCGACCCCAAATGGGGTCGCAACCCATAGGTTGAGAACTGCTGCTCTAGCTTTTATGATTCTCAAAACAATACATAGGTTTAATACTCTATTTTGCTGAGGTCAAAAGAATTGCTGGAAATGGTACTTACATGAATGTGTGGATTCTTTAATCCTTTTGCATTTTTCAGTGAGGACAGGAAGTGGTAATTAATTGGACTGGAGGGTTCACCTTCCGTCTCAAAATGAAAGATAATGACGCAGCTTTGCCTGGTACAATTTCCACATCTTTTCAAAAGATCATTGATGGGCTCCTTATAAATGAGAACTGCACTTCCTTCCTTAACAATCACATCATTTTTCGTCAAAGTGCACACCGGCTCCATTCTGCTCCAATCATATACAATTATCTATGGTGCCCATAAGACAGATCGAGACAGAAAAAAAGTGATTATGAGTGACTGTTTTCCATCAAATGAATTTGGGTACTCAAATATCTCTGTAAATTTCTTTAAAAAGTAGAATCATACCTTAAGGCTATCATGTTCTATCTCGTCTTGCATGACAGCTGTAGAGTACATAAAATGGAAAACGTATTTTGTTTCACACCTACCGTATTCTGGAAGTTGGACCAATTGTGACTTAGTAAGAAACAAAAGCCAGAATATTTTGGTACTTCCAGATTTGGGCCAAAATAAAAACCAGAGAGATCTCAGAGTAAATTCAGAAGCAAGAGACCAAGGCTAGTGCATGTTGCCTCTTCTATCCAGCTTAGCATCCTCTTTGGTTATCCAACATCTTATCTTCCCAGGGCATTCCCTTCGCTCTTTCTCTCTCTCCCCCCTCCGTTCCTCCCTCCCTCCCACCACTTATGTTCCCAATCTTTCTTCACTCCCCCCCCAAAAAAATAAAATCAGAACAACTGCATTTCATAGCACATCTGGACTAAAACTATGGAACAAAATATCCAAAATACACCTTTTTCAGTGTTGCCAGAGACCACTGCAAAACAGATGTAACTTAAACAGAATGGGTTGGGCACAGAACATTTTACATATTCCTCTCTTATTTATTTATTTATTTATTTATTTATTATTTCAATTTATATCCCGCCCTTCTCCCGAAGGACTCAGGGCGGCTCACAACATTATTAAAACAAAGAAAGACCCACACACCCCACCGAATAAAACCAAATTAAAACCAAAATTTTTATGTTGTGATAATTAAAATTTCTAAAAAACCCAGTTTAAAAATCCTCCCT